TAAAGTTTGTCCAGAACCATCCATGTTAAGGTACTTTTAGACTGCGATGCATGAGAGCCACGCGGGTTGGCGCTGACAGGCCTTGCTACGGGATTTACTGCACAAAAACGAAACCAGTGGCATCATGTACTACGTCTGACGTTTTCTCTAAAAGTTTCAGGTCTAGAACCTTGCCGATTTGCCAGCATGTTGGCCTATTCATCAGTTTTGCAACAGTATAAAGTTTGTCCAGAACCATCCACGTTAAGGTACCTTTAGACTGCGATACATGAGAGCCTTGCGGGTTGGCGCTGACAGGCCTTGCTATGGGATTTACTGCACAAAAACGAAACCAGTGGCATCATGTACAACATCTGACGTTTTCTCCGAAAGTTTCAAGTCAAGAACCTTGCCGATTTGCCAGCATGTTGGCCTATTCATCAGCTTTCCAACAGTATAAAGTTTGTCCAGAACAATCCATGTTAAGGTACCTTTAGACTGCGATACATGAGAGCCTTGCGGGTTGGCGCTGACAGGCCTTGCTATGGGATTTACTGCACAAAAACGAAACCAGTGGCATCATGTACGACATCTGACGTTTTCTCCAAAAGTTTCAAGTCTGGAGCCTTGCCGATTTGACAGCGTGTTTGCCTATTCATCAGCTTCCAACAGTATAAAGTTCGTTCAGAACCATCCATGTTAGATTGCGATACATGAGAGCCATGCGGGTTGGCGCTGAAAGGCCTTGCTATGGGATTTACTGCACAAAAGCGAAACAAGTGGCATCATGTTCAACAATTAAGAGGTCAAAAAAAATTATACATGGTAGGCCAGTTCTACATTGTTCCATTCTCGGAGACATTCTTTATAAGGAATTCACATGTGAGCATTCCATACCTCCACAAAAATCCAAAAATTCGCCTCAGACAACAGCAGAGGGACAAAAATCAATACCCTGAGTCATGTTAACAAGAACATTACACTTGGCTACAGAAAATAGATTTTTGAAGCTCATTAAGCTAGTTGATTTTAGCGTGCAAAATTTGGACAAACTTGGGGTGACCTCCCAGTTGGATCATGCTGACAAGAAAATATATATTTGGCTACAGCAAATAGATTTTTAAAACTCAGAGCTAGTTGATTTTAGCATGCAAAATAAGGACGAACTTGGTGTAATACCTTTAGTCAAGCCGACAATAACATTTGGTTGTAGAACATAAATATTTTAATCGCAGACCATGTTCGATTTAGCATGCAAATGAGGGGCAAGCCGGGGTCCGGTAATACCTGAAGTTATTTTGACAAAATCATTACGATTGGTGACAGAAAATAAACATTTGAAGCTCAGAGCCAAATAACGTTAGCTTGTAAAGCAGGAGCAAACCTATATTACCCTATATGAAATTGAATGTTACAGAGTTGGTGAATTTGAATCCAAAATATTTTGAAGTAGCCGGGAAAACCTTTACCTTGAGTTATGTTCACAGGAACGTTACATTTGGCTACAGAAAATAAATTGGGGAAAACACGGAGTAGTACCTCGAGTCATGTTGACAATATCATTACATTTTGCTACAAAAAAATATATGATTATTTGAAGCTCAGAGCCCATTAATGTTGCATGCAAATGATGAGCGAACCTCGGTCATCTGGAGTAATAAATAAATAAAGAAATACATTTGGGGGAAACACGGGGTTATATACCTCGAGTCATGTTGATAAAAAATTACATTTGGCTACCAAAAATAAATTTTGGGGCAAATTCGGAGTAATACCTTGAGTCATGTTGACAATATTATTACATTTGGCTACCAAAAAAAGTACTTGAAGCTCTGAGACAGACAATGTTTGCATGCAAAGGAAAAGCAAATTTTGGGCGAATGTTGATGGGAACATTACATTAGGCTCCAAAAAATTACATATTTCTAGGGGCAAACTCGGGGTGAAACCTTGAGTCATGTTTACAGATCATTACATTTGGCAACAGGAAATAGATTTGTACCCCTAGCAAACTCTTAAGTAGGAAAAAGGGACTACATGTCTTCATTCTTCTATTCTTAGAGACATTCTTGGAGACACAGGTGATAATTCATTTTACTTCCAAAGAAATACCCTTCAATTCACGTGGGGGGGGGGGGGCGGAACCATATTTCAATAGGGGGCGCTGTTCAAATTCGATGATTATTAACACTAGATTACAGAATGGTGTACCGTCTTTTGAACAGGCAAACATTATACCAGTATAACTTTTTGTGGGTGTCACAGCGAGGGGGGGGGGGTTCGACTTATTTTTTAAGAATTTGTATGGAAAAAAAATTGGCAGAGTTGGGGGGGGGGGGTGTATAATTTATTTGGAAGTAAAAGGAATGGAAAGATTCCCATATTTGGCCATCACTTGTCACCCTGTGCACAAACCCTATGAGACTGGTCTGAAAAAGTGTTTTCTCAGTAAATACTTTAATATTTTCCCTGCTAAATTTGAGTTTTTAGGAAATTATTATCACTTTTTGATGGCTGACAGGTCACTGAGGGGTAAAATTAGTGATGGCCAGATATGGGAATCTTTCCAAAGGAATCATCACCTGTGAATTCCTCGCAATTAGAAAAAAAATGTTGCAACCTGACGCCCCTTTTTTCCTTCATATATCATCTCAATGAAGGTCAGTCATACACAATCGCGGAAGTGGCGTCAGGTTGCAACATTTTTTCCGAACCGATTTCTTTAAAGCAGTATACCAGCTTAGACTTTTAAAATAAACACAAAATCTTGTCAATATGGAAAGAATGTTGCAACCCGACGCTACGTTTTTATTCATATAATATCATCTCAATGAAGGTCAGTCATTGCAAAAATGACGATAAGACATTAATCTGGGACTGAGAAACATTTCCAATTTTGTTAAAAAATACTTCGAAAATTTTCTTGACTCTCCATAGACTTTGTACACAACCGCCGAAGTAGCGTCAGGTTGCAACATTCTTTCCCAATTATGTCCTGCAAATATGTAAAACTGCCTTTATGGTTTTCACTTACCTCGCATTAATCTTTGACTTACCAAATGTCGAATTATTAACTTGTCAAGCACAGACATTCACCATCGCCCAGATCACTCGACATATTCCACAGCAGTTAAACAAGAGATCTATGACTCTTTGAGTTGGAGTTATTCCTCATCCCCTTCAGAATTCAACTATTGTGTCCATTTCAGTTCCGTGGAAATTAAAGAGTTCAGTTTTTCAAGTGTTCCTCGCTCTTTGAAACAGAATGCACAGTTTGTTGCAGGCAAGCCCACTACAGAGTTCGGGATTCTGGCAGTTTGGTTTATTTTCTACATAGTTTGCTAAAACTCCAGTTATTTTGCCACAAAGTTTGCTTAAAAGTTCAGGTCATATTTCTGTTTCCATCCAAGATTCACTCGCGTAAATTCCGTGGACAGGTCCGACAACGTCGTCGTATCTACGGCAGCAACAGCATGGAACCCGGGCGTCGCTGAAAGCTACAATGCATATGATCCGTCTGCGAGGCTGTCTCTCCCGTGTACACATGTTGAAATGCGGCGTCTCTCCGGCGGCAGAAATACCTCACTTAAGTCCACGACTCGATACTGACGTTTCACACATATTGTTCCCTTCGAGTGTTTTGTGCATTATAAGAAACCACAATAAGATGTCATTTTTGTGGACAAAAGACGAGTGCCAGCCATACGTTCCGGATTTTGAGCACATCATTTTTAACTTGGCTCACGCCCAATCGCAGAAACAGCTGACAGGAAATGAAAAGGCTAGGTATGCATTTTCAACAATGTCGAGACGTACAGACGTTTTCATTCGCGGATGGATTTTACTGCTAAATGTGACGAACTTAATAATTGTAACACTGATTTAACACAATTTTAACCTTTCATACTCTTCAATGAAAAAGGTCCAATTATTTGATTGCTTTTGACAAAACAAATATTCTGTTTTTTTTTTTTTTTTTTTTATAAAATAGCCTGACCTATTTTCTTAAACGTGGAGAGATATCTAGATGCGAGAGGTCACGAGAAGGTCACGCGCTCCGCGTCCGAGAGCGGCTCCTATTGGTTTGAAGTGGAACAATAATCGCTTTGATTCACAGGTGCGGACTGCGCTTGTTTACATGGTTTTTTTTTTCATTTTTTAAAATCCGGCTTCGTTCAGGTTCGGTTTCCATCTGCCTCTGGCTTCAGAATTATAGGTTTATGTAGAGAAATGGAAAATTAATCTGAAAACTTTGCCTGATCAGTTGTAACAGATTATTGACGAACCCCAGAGGATCCAAAACTTTTTTTCGAGGTGGGGATGGTAGGATTGTGGTGGTGGTGCTTTGGGGGTAAGGGGGGGGGGGGCTGGACCTCATTAGATGCTAGGGACATTCTTTAGAAACTAATTACCTAGAGTTTAACCAATTTGAGAAAACAAAGGAAGTGTATCTAGATCTTTTCTGGTCCTTAGTGGACTGTTGGATTCGTTACAATAGCAACCTCGTCCCCTCGTCCCATCATGCGTAGCGCGCTAGCTGCATGCGAAGGTCAATCTGTACTTCCTTCACAAGATTCTGTGAAGCTCATCAGCCCTTACCAGCACCCTGTTTGCAGGGCGGGGGGTACGAGCGAAGACGAATTGATGCTGTTTTTACCCCAGACACCGCATACAAAAACAAACGCTAATGTAACACACATGCAGGCACCAGACTATTCCTCATTTGCATACGTGTTCAAAAATCTTGCTCATGCAAATGATCCAATACCAGGGCGAGAGAGCAGGTAGTGGTGGGCGCATACTGCTCGACACCCTGGGGACGAGGTTGTTACAATAGGACATTTGTCATTTTCTATTTTGAATTGTGTAACTTCCCTAAAACAGCATTCGGGACTTGATTATCGCATGTATTGGTTGCTTAATTTTCCGGTAATTATAAATGTTCCGGCGTGACTTGCCTAAAAACTTGCCTACATCATTCATATTATACATTCATAAAGAAAAAACATAACATGGCGGAATCTTCTGACAGAATTCTATCAATTCAAAGTATTTAATTGGTGTACAATGTACGTGGAACATAACACATAACGTGGAACATAACACATAACAGAATAATTACAATGTATTTGTTTTACTGTTACAATGCATTTATTTATCATAGGAATTAAGTCTCGTTTAACTATACAATGTAATATAACAACTCTTCTTTACTACGATGTGCCAGTTGTAATGGTAGTCATCCCTGATGGATTTTAAAACAGGAGGGTGTTTCACATAAAGAATTTGTTGATAATTGTTGTTAGTTTATTAGTTTGATATATGTAATGTATAGATGAAAAAAAATCATACATTTCTTATTAAATCTTTTGATTGTTCAATATCAACTTTACAAGGGTAACCCTGACGGGGAAACTTTTAATCGATCAATGGCTAAACAAAGAAAACTGACTAAGGTGAATTAGAACCTCCAACCTTCTCAATGCTGAACCTGTGCTCTACCTTTATGCAACCCATTTATAGCAGTGTAACCATTTGTAAATGTTAATATTTATAAAGTTTAACAAAGAAAGCTGACTGAAGTTGGATTTGAACCTGTGACTCCGGATTACCATACCAACAATGCAACGTTGCAGGTTCAAGGGTGGCATCGGCGGCTAGTGTGTAAAGCACTTGCCTCTCACCATTGTGGCCCGGGCTCGATTCCCGGCTCGGACCATATGCAAGTAGAGTTGTGCTTTGATTCTCTCCTGTGCCACAAGAGTTTTTCTCTGGGCTCTCCACTTTTCATCCCTGTGCTAATATCAACACTTTCGATATCTAGCTGTGCTCTGTGGTCAGACATGGTTTGTATGGCGGCAGCCTAAGGTGCCTTTAAATGCCTTCTGCTCGACCACGTTGTAGCCACGTCCTTTGCAATTTAGCTTTTCAGCTGCAAGTAAGGATGATTAGGCGCCCTCCCCCCCCCTCCCCCCCCCCCCACCACCAAAAGTCCCACTCCAGTCAATTTCTTTGTTCAACCTTACAACTATTATGAACATGTATAATGCACCTAGTCAGTTTCCCTGTGTGTTTTTCATGACCTGTAATTTCTTTTTCCTTGGGCTTCATTAACAGATATGATATATTAATAGAATATCATAAACAAAACTGAGAACAAATCCAAAAGCAAACTTTTTATATGTTTTTTTTTATAAATGACATCCCTAATTTCCAACCAAAAAAATAAAATAGTTTCTCAAGAAAATGATAAATAAACCAATCTTGGTTATCATTCAGCAACAAACATCACAAATCCACAAAAGCATTTGTAACTGTGTGCAGTGTTTCTATCAAGGATGAAATGATTTAACACTAAAATAATTATGGCAATTATTTGAAAGCATAAGTATAAACTGATGAACAAGTTTCCAAATAAAAGTGACAAGTTCGAAGAAAAATAGCACAAAGCCAAAAGTATCCTGAACAACCTGGGCATGGGTAGGTTTTGAGCTACAAATAGGACTAAAGCACATAAAGTACAGCAATTAAAAGCATGTACCAAAATATAAACCAAGTTTCTTCAAACAAGGTTCTTGCTTGAGCAGTACGATAGTAGATACATGTATGCAAGAGGGTGACACACCATACACAAAACTGCTCACACAAAATGATTGAACAAAATCAATTGTGAGCTGTCACACCAGTACGATCAGAATGAATTTATAGTACAAAATTTGGCAGAGCACATTTGTACAGATAAATACAGTACACGTGAATGGTCCATATGTTTGATGTCGACCCTTATCTCATCCTCTTAAAATGTAACTGAGCACAATGTTCATCTGCAATCCTGATACTACGTGAGATATGCATAACACAGGTACATCACCACGCATGTGACAAACATGCCTCCAAAGAGAATCCACTTGTCCTGTGCAGTCCTCTTCTCAATGAGTCGCATGACGGTATTACTCAGTCCCAAAACATTGGCTACATCGAGGATTTTCCTTTGGGTGCCCTGCCAGAGTATAACAAAGTTGTATACAATTAACCTCGTTTTCCAATTCCATACTTCAATTTGATTGAAAAATTACTTCACGTGGGCATAATTTCTCTTGAATATTTACATGTAAGTATGGACTCCAGGGGCCGATTTCACAAAAGTCATCTTATCTTGCGACTCATCTTAGGACTTAAGACGAGTCCCTACTCTAAGATCGATCTTAGTTGAGACGCGCCCTAATACCGATTTCACTAAACCCATCTAAAGTACATGTATCTATTTGATTGCTGTTTCATGTTTGATTTTACCGTTGGACGAAAGAGTCTTTGAAAAGAAACGGGCAACACCAACTCAATAGAGCATGAACTTTCACCAGAAATAGTACTCAACTCAATCAATTTCACACGCAAGATAGTTCTACACAAGATACAATCAAGTCGTTCTCGCTCCCTGTTTCATCACTCTATTTTAAAAAAGTCGACTAGGTGTCGGCGTTTAATCAAATTTTGGAAATAAGCTATTTTTATTAAAACTATACCTACATGTACGTATCAGAAATCTTTTCAAATCTGTTTCTACAGCGGTTTTCTTCCTCGAAACTATAACCCTGGGCCGATACTCGTCTCTAACGGCAATGATTTCCAGACGATATACAAATTATAATACCCCGGCATTAATGACATTAGACCACCCTTGAACAGACCTGAAGTTAAGACGAGTTCAGCTGCGTTTCTAAGCAGTTAGGATGTGTTGAACGTGTCTTAACATGCTTAAGTTTGGTGAAATCGATCCTAGGACGAGTCGCGAGTTAAGGCAAGTTACCCTTCCAAAGACGCGTCTGAGCGTTTTCAGTACCTCACTGGTACCCCACAACATTTACAAAGGGAAAGTTTTTGGGGGGGGGGGAGGGGGAACCACTGGTAAGGGCATTTAAACGCAGTGCTGACAGGACCTGACATTCACCCCAAGATGGAGAGGCTATTTTAGCAGTGCATAATGGGATTATAAGTTGACGTCAGTTTGTAGATATTTCAGTTTCTTTGGTTTGAGGTATCAAGGACTTGGCAGTTTTACATTTCCGCCTGTCCCAACTTTGAAATGGATAGCACACACTTCTCACCAAAAGGGCAGAACAATGAGAGAAACAAAAGAACTTCTTAGTGTGTGTTCAGAGGGAGGGTGCAGTCTCAAGCCCAAACAAAAAGATAGAATTTTTGAAAATCAATGACTTATTATTAAAACTGCACACGTGATTAGGCCACAAACTGTACACCAAACATTGTTCAGATAAAATCCTAAACATTCTTAAATCCTAAATCCTAAACGTAATTACCTTTAAGAGTCCCCTTTGATTTCGTAGGTTCTCGATAGTAGCCGCACCTGCCCCAATTAAATCGTCCATTCCTCGATGGGCATCATGAAGCGATGAATTATGACTTAGCTCTTGGTCGATCAGAACTGAAGTATTGTCATCCTGGAAAATGCAATGTATAATATACATGGAGAACATTTGATACGGGGACTTTTCTGTTTAGCCCTGCGCAGACAAAAAAATATTTGCCACAACAGACCGGCATTTTGGGATCCCTTGACTTAAAGGTACTGTATACCATTAACAAACAGTCAAATAACAAAACTTATCTTCAAGCAAACTTGAATCCTCGATCCTGATTGGTCGATCCATGGCAACAAGCCGTGCTACATATAACCATACCGCACGGCCACGGTCCATACCGCACTCCGCGTATTGTGCTATTCTAAGCCTACGTGATGCGATTAGTGCTGCACAATTCACTGTGAATTCAAAAGTTGCGCGTAGGTTACACAGCATGCGTGTTCCAACTTTACTGTGCGTCAAGTTTGCTTGAAGATAAATTCGTTATCGCGCTCGTGGAACACGGAAAATGTAGTGCGTCTGTGTCCCACATACTTCGGCCTCGTGGTATGTGGGACACAGACGCACTACATTATACCGTGTTCCACTCGCGCTCGCAAGATAACTAATATAAGCCAGTTCTGTATTTCAACTGCGTATGCGCACAAAGATAAAGGTCATGGGTCGTTCAAGATAATAGAATGCTCATCGAAGGCGCGTGAACGCGCAAGGAGACGTTCGCACGACGCTCATATGTTAATTACGAGCAGAATGGGCATGCGCATAACTTCGCGTAACGTCGTATCAGCCATGTCAGCAATTTTATCCTGAATGACCTCTGACCTGAACTACTGCATCGAGATACCAAACTGGCTTTTTGGTACAGCACACATACATGTATGTAGGTGCAACATGTGCATCTATGTCACCACACAGCAAAACAAAATGCTCAATTACTGATTGTCCACTTTTATTTTGGGCGTATCACTTTCAATAAAGCACCTTCATCGAATATAAATGCAAATATGAAAATAGATGTATATACATGTATGCCGTACACAATTTAGAGTTTTGCCTAAAGTTGTGCACAAACATGAATGGGCCCAGCAGGCTACATTGCGTACAGCAAGTTAGTGCTAGAAAGTAATATCCATGATAAAGCTCTATGGTTTTCATTCATCAATTTGAAGTCTCTAACATATTTTTGTATATACTCGCGGGCTAGTCCGAGTTACTAGGACTCTACAAATTATCTTTTGGTAATGATTGGCGAGTCCAAGGACGAATCAAAATCCCAAACCATCAGATGTTACCCAAAAACAGACCCCAAAGCACCAAATACGCCACCTCGGGATCCGGTAGAGATCAGGATTTAAGATGGTGGTACTTAGGTTAACGTCGCGCTATGATACCTACGTTCGGTCGGACAATTTTCTAAAGCGGGGACATTATCTTCTTTTCAGCATGTGCCAGCCATGCAGAGTGACCGCAGTACTACATGTACCAAGGTATCATCATGATACACGCGCCCTCTATGGCTGGTGCACGCTGGAAAGAAGATAATGTCCCCTCTTTAGAAAATGGTCGAACCAAACTTATATCAAAACGCAACATACATGTATCGCAAGTCGATGCTAAATTGAATCACAACAACAGCAAGATGGCGACTGCAAGCACAATTTGAACGGGAAATTTCTCTTGTCTTCCAAACAGTAAATTTAAGTACCACCATCTTAATCCCCGGATCCCAAGGTGGCATATTTGACACTTTGGGTCTGTTTTGGAGGTAAAATCGGATGGTTTTGGTTGGCAATGAGTGTGCGATGATGTGTTATTGCAGCTCAGGACTGATTCGCCCTCGGACTCTACTATCGCCAGATCATGACAAAATGTTACAAAAGGCAATTTGTTGCTCCTAGTTACTCTGACTAGTCATTTGCACGGGCTCCATATCTTACATTGGCTACAAATCGTCTTGTGAGTAGTTCGTCTCTGTCCTTCAACTCCTGTTCGTGCATGTATCGGCGGTGCTGGATGTTTCTCAATGCTGCTTGCAGATGTTGACAGTCATACTTCAACTGCTCTAATCGTCTGAAACAAAAGACCCAATAAATCTATTTCTGTGGCACTGAACCAGGGAAGGAGAATTTATTTTTTGGTTCATTTATGCTTATTTGTATATTTTGTAAACGAGACAGTGACAAGACTAAAACTGGACTTTGATTACAGGGCCCAATTTCATGGCACTGCTTTACAGTAAGCAGAAAAGTTGTGCTTAATATAGCTGGAAACAGTGCTAACCTTGAGCACTATTTCATGGAATAGATGTGCTTACGGTTGCACGTGCACAGTGATTTCTACTGTTACGTCAGGGATTTAAGCAATTTTTCATCTGGCATTTTAGCATGCTTTTGCTGACATGCTTACTGCTTACGGTCTCCATGAAATAGATGAAGGCTCTGCTAGCAGAAAATTATGTGCTTAGCAGCGCCAAGAAATTGTGCCCAGGTTTATTTGCTGCTACACTTTGTGGAATCACAGTCTTCTGAGATGAGACAAAGAGAAAAATCTTGAAGATGCAGGTTCAAATCCTACGCCAGTCAGTTTCTTTAGATGTCCGACCTTGAAGTGATTGAACCTACATGAAGTCAGTGCCCATTCGTGGTTAAATGGAAGATACATTTTGTTTATTTACAGTGAATGATGAAATGAACTTACAGTCTGGCATTCTGTTTCCGTGTGGCCGGTTCTTTGTTGACAAGGATGTCAAGTCTCTCCAAGTTACTAACAATTTGGTCGATCATTGCTTGCACTTCATTCTCTGCCACTTCAAATACAAATGATCAAGAAGTATCATGGTAAGAGTACAGTCTGTCTTTGAACTAAAATGGCTCAAAATGTTGGTGTTTATCTCCAGTTCTTTGGCATGACAAAAATTAAAATTCAGTACACTCTGGCTAAGACGGCACTCTCGAGACCAGAGAATTTGTGACGACTTACACGAATGTCGGTTTCTGTTGCAAGTCGTCATTTTGCCGACTTACACAAATACACAAATTGAATCACGGAGTGAAATCATGCAAACAAGATTCATGGCTAAAATTCAAAGGCTTTGATTTACCCTGGTTTATTTCTACATCCATGGTTGATTCCAGCAAATATATCCTCAATGTTTATCATCACAAACAGGTTGTGGTATTGATCACAGAAAGTCATGCATGTACATGTACGTACGTACGAAGCAAGGACGGCGCGCGCCGGCTAGCGTTAACAGTGGTATGATATACAGATCGCTTGCATACTGTACGTCCATGTAGTGTACATTGTGCACATATGTACGTACGTGTACAGTCACGAATTAAATGTGTGCATGGTACTGGTACAATAAGGGGACCCCCAAAATGAACAGAGCGCATGCGTGCAGTCGAGAGGGGGTACTGGTATTGATGTGCTATCGGGAAAACTCCTTTTTGATCACGCACGTGTAAGCGAACGATGCACACAATGTACACTGCTGGCCGATGCATCAATCACGGGCCGTGCCATTGATAAACAGATGTCAGTTAGCAGTGTGTGGGACATTTCACTCGACACTTCTTGCAAACCGCAGAGCACGATGCCGACTTATAAAGAGGAATTTTTGTGGTTTTGAGGAAATGGGACTGAAAGTAACACGCCGCCATAGGCGAAATGGCGGCTTACAAAGGCCGTCTTAGAAATGAAAATGTCAATGGAAATGCATTAGAGACAATCGGGACTTTCGTCAGACGGCCGATTTAAGCGATATGACGGTTTATACAATGTTGGTTTAGCCGGAGTTTACTGTTGTTTTCTTCCCTTTTGAACAGAAATTTTCCCGTGTGGCTCTGTCCGAATTAATGGAAGTGGCTGCAGCCACATTCCATTGACCCGTATGTTATTTCCAGCCATAGCCAGATAATTCAGACACAGCCATTCACACACAGAGGTCATGATCACGTGACCTCTAAAAAACAACAGTTTATGTATGTCCGGATGTATCAACGAGTATTTTGTGAAATGGTACAAGACCCACTGCGGCTACATTGTCCTTGCGCACTAGCGCCTGTATCGTAGCCACTGCGCAATGCGGTCTGTACCATTTCACAAAACAAGTTTTTGTACAGGTCATGTGATCGTGACCTCTGTGTGCGAATGGTCCCATCTAAATCATCTGACTATGGCTGGAAATAACAAACAGGTGAACGGAAAGTGGGTGCAGCCGCTTCCATTAATTCAGACACGGCTCTTTCGTTCCAACATGGAGACAGACTGTGCAGTACCGTGATTGTGGAAACTGGCCAAATTCCATCGATTTGCAGCTCCAAAAATGATCGGGAGTACCATTGAAGCCCCAGTAGTTTGTCTTTGACTTGTTAAGAAGCAAGTAGGTGCCTTAAAAGGTATTTTTGTCAAGTTTTTGCCGTGATTTTGGCAACTGTTTTGAGCTGGGTGTTCGTGAAAATACTGGATGACAGTTATTTCGATTTGCTGTCTTTGGGGAGCTAGAACAACCGACCAAAGACAAAATTTGGGGGGAAAAAAGAGTTCTAGCACCCCAGTTAGTTACTGGGTCTTAGTCAGATGTTGAACAGAAGTCACATGGCACACATCCAAGTACTTCAAGACACATTTTAACTAAGATTTTGTCACTTACAGTACTTTTTCTCTTGGGAAGCCTGCTCAACTCGAGATAGGCCATTCTGCACCTCATGAAGCAGCCTGCATGATGAGACACACATTTCAGACAAATTTATCCAGGAATTAAAACTTGCGATGAACATTTCATCTGAAACTGTTGCAAAATTAATTTGAGACTGGTATGAGTCTGGTCTGCACTAACAAAAAGAACTTAAAACTTAACCCTAACTCCCTAGGGGGTGTGCAAAATCGTAATGAAATTGGACGATTCAGGACTGTTAGGGCTATAAAACTGTTTAACTTAAAATGTAGCAATACATGTACATGTAGGCCATTCTGCACCTCATGAAGCAGCCTGCATGATGAGACACACATTTCAGACAAATTTATCCAGGAATTAAAACTTGCGATGAACATTTCATCTGAAACTGTTGCAAAATTAATTTGAGACTGGTATGAGTCTGGTCTGCACTAACAAAAAGAACTTAAAACTTAACCCTAACTCCCTAGGGGGTGTGCAAAATCGTAATGAAATTGGACGATTCAGGACTGTTAGGGCTATAAAACTGTTTAACTTAAAATGTAGCAATACTATGTATTCTTTGTAAAGGGGCAGACCTACATGTACATGTAGTAATCATAAGAACCTGTATTATTATTACAAGCTTTGGCTGACCTCCCTATACTATTATTCCCAGTTCTGATGTTTTCTTCGTATGTTACTGGCCATATTACAAATGTAGTATGGTATGGAAATAAACCAGCAACCTGACACCTGAAACATACTAAATCATATGATGAATAGGCAGCAAAAAAATCAACAACTGCATGTACATACATGTACATGTACATGAGGGCTCAAGAATATAAAAGACAAGTCACACATGAACATATTATCACACAAGTAACTTAAGTCTTTGTTGTTGTTGTTGGGGTTTTTTTGGGGGGGGGGGGGCAAGTTCCTGGTCTCAAGATGTTACTCACTTGTTTGTTTCATGGTACAACTTCTCCATTTCTTTTCTTAGGGTGGGCACTGATGTTTTCCAGTCTAAGTTAAATGTCTCTCTGTGCTGTAAAATTTAAACAGTATAGCGTTTGTGAAATATCATCATTAAAACACACCTTTTCAGAGTTTTCAGTATTATCAGTTATGAAAATACAGTAACACTTTTTCACTTTGTACTTGCTGCTATGGAGGCTGCATGTACATTGTACTTAATACATGTACCTGGTTAACAACCAGGAAAAAGTTCTCTAGATATCTATTTTTCGTGTGATTGTTAGTGGAGTGCATTAACCTGTAGCGCGGGAACCAGGTACCGTATTTAAGTAAAACACAGGTGCCCGCAAACTTTAACGCTACAATTGGAGACAAATGTTGGGGCTACATTGTACGTACACATGTTGTAACAGTTCCCGTCGTACTGGCAAATGGAACTGCAGTAGCTTGAAATATCCATCGCACTACACTCATGACAATTGATTTCTACTGGCAAATCTCCCACTGCCATGAGCCTAGTGAGCTGGATATTTCAAGCTGCTGTTAGTGTGACAGTTCCAGATCACTTTTTATACAAACCGCTGTACACCTACTAATGTTCAGAGTTTCTGTGTCCGAGTGACGTCATTTCATAGTAAAATTCCTCCTCTTCAAGTTAAAACCAAATATGTCCAAACAGACTCAACTAGTTAACCCTAACTCCTGGGGCTCTTTTACTAGAAAGTATCCTGAATCCACCAAAATCCACCAATTTTGTCATGCAAAAATTGCTGGTATCCTGAATCCATCAGAATCCCCCAGTGTAGATTCTGGAGGTATCCTGAATCCGCCAGAATCCACCAGCAAAAGTCTTGATGGATTCTGGCGGATTCAGGATACCATGGTGGCATAAAAAAAAATACAGCATGTTTTTCCATAGAGTCTTCAAAATCCATCACCTAAATTTCTGGTGGATTTTGACGGATTCAGGATACCATGCTCGCATGAAAATTGTGATGTGTGTTGTTGCATAGAATCCGTCAAAATACACCAATGCATGGCGACCCCAGCATGGATCAGTACCGAAGTGAATACGTCTCGCGCACAAAATTTGTGTGAAAGACATAGCGCATGTTTCAGCCCGTAAACCATAGATATAGAATGAAAAGACTAGATCGGCAGCGCGTCCACACGCGCCCAGTCACTGTGCGATAAATCTCTGCCATTTTGGTTGTCTCTCATAGACGCGCAACAAATGAACGTAAAGTAATGGAGCTAAATGTATCTTTCCTCCAGCACGTGACCTACATGTAGCTCAACATGCGCTAAGCAAGAAATGCGCACCGAGTATTTACGCGATGCGCACACATAATTATTAGCGATGCACATGGTGTTCTTTGCGCGTAAACGGCGTTGCGTTCGTCACGTTTTCGCGCATTATTTGTATCTTTCCTCCAGCAAGTGACCCTCCATGCAAGTCCACCCAGTACATGTGTGTACATGTTTGTACAGTACGTGACAGACTTGGCAGGGCTAGTGCCAGCAGTATTTACTTGACCACAAACATTGCAAAAGAGTTAAACTGTTGAGATCCTGAATCCATCAAAGTCCCCCAATAGCTCAAAATGGAGGTATCCTGAATCCATCAAAATCCGCCAGTTCCGCTAGGCTTCGAATCCTGAGTCCATCAAAATCCCCCAGTTTGTTCAATATGGAGGTATCCTGAATCCGCCGAAATCCCCCAAAACAGGGGGGTAGATTTTGATGGATTTAGGTACGTTAGGGTTAGGAAATAAATCATGGCTTTTGAAAAGACTGAACCCGACAGTTGGGGATCACTTTCAACAGTTGAGGATCACGTATGCAGCGCCACCTACTACATGCAATTCATCATTCACGGCACGCTCAGCGCGCGTCGTGTGTCACACCTGCCATGCATGTATTATGTAATACAGACCGCACACAAAACAAAACCCATGCATCGTGTGCATGGGTGATCCGCAACTGTCTCACGTGGGGATAAAAATCTGTCGGCGAATACGGCAATTACGTTAAATCAAACACCATTGTAATTTTACTCTGTGACACTTGAAATCATTCCCTCACAAGAAAGCCTCATTTTTACTATTATGGTCAAGAAAAACCTATTAAAGTTGACTACGTAGCGGAGGAAACCAGAATATTGCCTCTCGGCTAGGGGTGTAAATTTACGGGTAGTACAGGAACCGGGTACCCAATTGAAAAAAAATATGGGTACCCGGGTACCCCTTAAAGAAATCTAAGCCAAAAATTCAAATTTGGGAAGTTGCTCTTCAGATTGTTCATAAAGCTCCGCATGAAAATACTACCACACTGGTGCGGCAATATGGCTAGAAAAGACGTATACAGTGAGCTCTTTAGCTACATGTATGTGGCGAAAACTGCAACTTGTGCAAGCATCATAAAACGTGACACTGGTTTTGGTTTTCCGTGTATCCTGTTTTTCATTTTGAAATTGTCCCACTGACATTTGAAGCATTTCTTTTTCATTGACTGAGAAGTTACTAAGTAATATGTAAAGTTGGTTACGGGTACTCGATTCCATAATCTGGAACCGGTTCCTGACATTAACCCTTACCCTACTAGACCCTCCAACGCATGCCAATATGTGCCTCAAGAAAATCTCCTATGTTTTTTGCATGGCCCTCCAATATCTGCCATGTCATTTCAAGGGTAACTGGACAGGCACTCCAATACATGCCACAGAGAACAATGAGAGTCCTCTGATAACAAAGTGAGTGCCCCCAGCTGGTCAGTATCAGGCACCCTCCAGGGCCTCCAACTCCTGCCAATTGGAGCCTTCACTGCTACATCAAAGTATCCTCCAATAAACTGCAGCTGGAGGGCATTGGCATAACCAACTGACATGCAGTAAACTACCCTCAGAGAGTAAGGGTTAATGGTTGGGTACTCGGGTACCCGGTTCCGATGCACAGCCCTACTCTCGGCGCTTCTTTTCACAGGTCAGTTTACAAATTGTGCAGATATTTCGCCGAACTGGATCGATCAGTGAGGGTAATGTTTAAGCGATTTACACAATTTCTTTTTTTTCCAACAATTGTAAAATGATGTAAAAAAAAAAAAAAAGGTTACACTTGCATTAAATTCTTATTTAATCAAGTAATCGGGATCGGAATTGTAGATGATCCGGTGTAGTGTGAATATCCGAGTCCATAAATATGGACTCATTGGTCGGGTAGCCGCAAGTACAATTATAATATTTTTAGGATCATATCCGTGAGAAGAGTGACCTGTCACGTGCGAGGGATTAATCAATAATAAGGAAAAGGAGTCAGATTTTCAATCCTAGGAGTCCAATTTTCATATGACACCGGAACTGTCGCACTCACTACTACTTACATGTAGTAGGCCTACTAGTACTAGTAGTATGCTAAAGTTCTCAGCATGCATCAGTTACACTACACTATTAACGGCAATCGTGAAGTGTAGGGCCCCTGTTTTGTTTTGATCAAATTAGAGTCAAAATTTTTTTTATTGCTCAAAAATCACCTTTGCTCAGACTTCTCTCAATTCACCCGTTTTGCAATTTTGAACAGATCCTTGGTATAGAAATCACAATTTTCCTGCGCGGTTTGTGCCTTGCGATTCAGCGCGCCGTGCATGCTCACGGTACATCGCACGGCCAGTGATTGCCATCTTTATTTTCGGGTCGCATGTTGTCGCCGCGCTGTCATCGTCATTTTACCCCCAAATTTCCCTCAAAAAATCAAAACCCTGCCCTCTATCTATGACATACCAGTCATGCCTGTATTTTGAGAATGTCGCCAACTAGTTTGGTATGGCAGGTCCAATAATTTTAAAGTGGATTTTGTTCCCTTATACTATAGGAACCGGACCCTACACTTCACGATCGCCCTCTAGGCCTACACCTGACACTGAGTTAGTGCTAACACTATCAGTAACACTTAACATGACTTAAAGCTATAGTCCATCATTTGCAGCCATCCGAAAAGTAATTGGCGTAATTATTGTTGAAAAACAAACTTGGTTGAAAGATATTAAGGGGACTAAACTCCCTGTGAAATTATTCTTTCTGGGAAGCTGTCATTTTGAAGTAGGCCCTAATCAACGAAAGAAGGCATTTCCAACGGTGATTCTTAAGAAGCACCGTAGGAAAATTTAAATTAGTAGTTCGTTTTGTTATTCAGCGCAGCGCGCACAAGTATTGGAACGACGCACACACGCGCGCGGTTGTTAGAATTCGTCAGATCAGTGCGCGACGTCGCGTATAGCTGCAATTCAAGATTCAGTAACTTTTGATTTGAAATTGAGATCTTAGAATGCTGTTTTTCTCGGAATATACGGGTCGCACTAAAAAGCGTCAACACAGCGTCAACACATGACAGAAGCGTCAACACATCCAAAACATATCCAAAACACATTCTGAATTGACAAAAAAGGTATATAATTGTAAAGCATACATGTAGAATAAAAGAGAATTTCCATTGGATTGAGTTTCCATTTTGTTGTTAAAAATATAGTATTTTCACGCGAAAAAATGACCTTTAACTTGCTCGGCCGTTGTCCGCCATCTTGACTTCGCACAAAGCTTGGACTACACCATTTCAAGTAGGGGTGTGTAGGTAATGACATTATCTTATCATAAACAACAGTGCATTCTGATCTGTGAGAGACTGAGGGACTGAGGTTTATTGTACAACGCTATCACCCTTTAGCATAATGGAATGGTCTGCACTGCCACTGAGGCAGCCGATCTCAGAGCGGCACGGAGAGCCAATTTTCTTGAACTGAAAATCGCAATTTTCAGACGTTTAACCTATTGAATTTAAGCCAAAATCTTGTTTCTGTCCACACTCTATGGGTTACATACTGCTTGTGTCAATTTTAATGCATTTTGGATGTGTTGACGCTGTGTTGACGCTGTGTTGACGCTTTGGAGTGTGTTGACGCTGTGTTGACGCTTTTTAGTATGACCGGAATATACAGCTGAAGCTGAGCTGAAACTTCATCAGGTTAGTTGTTCAGTATCCTTCATTAGATTTTGAACACGTTTGTTGCTTCAAACGAACAAAATGCACTAATTACAAATGATGGACTGTAGCTTAGTTTAATCATGATCTTCATCGATAAATTTCCACGAACACAAATTACCGTTCGGATGTGGCCGGCCAAATAACGTCTACTAAGATTAGTCCCAGGCTCAGTAACGAAATCAGTTGTTGCAATGTTTCTCACATTCCATTTTGCTCATAATCTACTTTGAACTAGTAGTAGTAGTAAAGTCAAAGAGAATGAAAAAAACCCTGCCAGATTGTACACTCCTCTGATGACTCTGGCAGTGCATGCCCATCGGATACACGTAATAATTAACATAGCGCCCTCAAGTGACAGTGAGGGCGAGACACATGACAGTGGCACCAATTTTATTGATGATCGTGATGATATGTGTAGGCTACTGACAGAACCGTGAACTTTGGAGCGAGGGCCGATAATAAGTTAATAAGTTTTGTATTTAATCATGTTGTCTAGGGTTTTAGTATAGATTCAGTCCTTGCATTCGGTCCAACTGCGGTATAAACATGATAAACTGTGATAAATTTTCAAGATAAATAAATATACCTTTGATTTCTTTTTGTCCTCATCCGTGCAGTCTTGTCATGGCAGTAGCACCTAGGCCTATTTTAGTATTTATATTTGGCATGTAATTCTTTGGTGGGCATATTTTTTGGCATTGAGACTATTGTTAACTTGAACAGGTGAGCAGTGGGTTGAAAGAAACTCGAACCAATTTCTGTAAGGGGTGACTGGGAAGTAGGCCTATATAGTTCTCTGACGGAGAGAAGCCTTGCTGAGATTAGAAGTTCTAATTCTAGAAGTAACTGGGAAGTAAGCCGTTTTGAACTCCAGCTTAACAATAACATGCTCATCAGGAATTCACATGAAACATGTGAATTCCTGATGAGCTTTTTCAGCTGGAGTTACTCAAGCTAAGACTAACTGGAGTGTTATAATCCACAGTCTTGAGACCCATGAAAGTGGCATTGTGAACATTATATTTATATGGCCACGGCTCATGCATTGTCGTGGTTGTCGATGTCATGCATATAACGTACCGCTGTCTTCCAGACACTTCAATCAGTTTTGACCGGCAGCTTCAACTTAGTTCTGCACGACGTGTGCATCCAAAATGTACTCTAAAAACACATTTTTCCTAATTTTTTTTTCGCATTTCCAGAGCTTCCTGGATTCCCCTTGGGTGAAATCACAAGGTGAGGTGAAAATTGATGTGTTAGGGGGCAGGTAAGTTGGTGCTCCTGTATGGATTTTTTTTAATAGTAGTTTTGAAAACCAAAAGGAATGTTGTGGAAGAGGGCAGGGGTTTCGAATATGGTAGTCGTGTGTAGTTTAACGTCCCTCCCCCACCCCCACCCTTTCCATATACATGATATAATTATAAGAGAACAGACACTTTATGTTACTTGGAATAACATTTGTTTATTATGTGTTTGGACAGTTCGCTATATAGTCCCATGTTGAATTTCTTCTAACTTGAACTTGTGGAAAGAGGGTCAGGTTTTGATTGATCATGTTTAATATGAACGGAACGTGATAAACAGAGAGATATCCTAAACTACACGATTACCTCCGTTATTTAACGGGAACTTTTAGGGGGGAAGAATGATGAAGAAGATGACAAAATATGATGACCATCCCCTAGTCCGAAAATTTGGGACTCTCAATACTGTGTATGAGAGTCCCAAAACTTAAGGTATCCATATCGTGCAAAACTTTGTGCTGCATGATAAAACCAGTGTGAATCAAATTTGCAAGCTTCTTACTCACTACAGTTTCTTCAATAATCCCCGAAACTTCTGCCTAGGAAAGTTGCTGTTGTGAGCATTGCATCACCAAAATTTCAGCTTTTAATTCTAATTTTGCAGAGAGTTATCGAAATCCATACGTGAGACATCACATTGATGTGTACTGCAATGCACTGTGCAAAAAGACTCCTCAGCTATATAACATTTCCATCGTGTAAATAAAACAGCGCCCTCTTGTTGATCTGAGTGAATGCAAAATGTTTCATTTTTTAGCAGAGGGCGCTATGTTCATTTGGCCATTGATTAAAAAACAAGTAAGCTGCAAGGCTCTTCCTACACCTACCCAGAATACATTGGGAATCACACACCCATTTCCAGAGCATGGAGATTGACGTGGATGGTTTTTGAACTGCCAAAACCTTGCCTTAAAATTGGATTTAAGGTCTCAAATTTTGCAGGTGACATGCTTGCAACTATAGCATTTTGATGTATTGTTGTGTGGGCATTAATTAGCCAAATGGTGAGTAAAAAAACGTCAGTAGTAATTTTGCACGTTTTTATGCACTCACGGTCCCAGTCTGACCATCCCCATGACTAGCTCAATAACGTGTAGCTCAAATACTGGATTTCCTCCGCATGTGAGCCACAACACTACACTATTTGAGGGGAAAAGTTGATTTTCAGAAAATCAAAATCCAGACTGTTTTTTTTTTCACCCAAGTTGATGTGACCTTTGATTTTCCCTACATGTAGTTATTAACCATGTTAACAGGTACATGTAGGACCCCTGTAACAATATGGACATGATGCAGGAAGTCCAGTATTGAGCCACATTATATTGGGGCTACCCAGCCACGACGCTCCACAAATGCACCAAATTATGATCGTTTGCATGGCATATGCTGTAGAATCACATTTTCTGCCATGTCTTTGTCTGCCAACAGATAAGGTTTAAGTTATGCCTAACAAAAAAGTTAAAAAGAAGATTACTTTAAGGTTGCAGATGTCGTTTTTTATAACTTTTTTTTGTTTTACATTTTGCCACTACATGTAGTAATAGCCGTTGAATAAGCAGAGATGGAAGACACAAGTGAAGTCAGAGCAAAGCATCGCTTCGACGAGAACAAGCTGCACGCATTCTTGAGGAGAAACGTGCCAGGATTTCCTCAAAGTTCAACTCCACTCCATGTGCGGCAGTTTACGTGAGTTAAACTTTCACTTCAAAATGATAAATTATAAGTTTACAATACCCATACGCATCCCATAAATGTATACAATAAAGATTTATGTACTGTACATAATGTACATTACAAAATGCGCTACCCCTGTTGACAAATTTAAGCCGTATTGTTATCTAGTATTTCTTGGAAGATGAATCTAAATGGTGGGGATGAAAGGTACAATACATGTATAACGATTTTTGATGCATAAAAGCTGGTCCTAGCTCGTAGATAGTAAATATGAGAAACTTGTACATTGATTTCATGACAATTTATCAAAAGCAAATTATCGCTCAGTGTATATATGCATATGCATGGGGTACAGAACAACCCCCCCCCCTCCCCCAGAGACTTATTTAGAACAATTTAAACTTAAAAACATTGAATTTTCTTTTGCTGTGATATAGGTCTGGTCAGTCGAACCCTACTTTCTACCTAGCCAAGGATGGCTGTGAGTATGTCATGCGCAAGAAACCGCCGGGCACATTGCTGAAAGGAGCTCACCAGGTAGTTTATAATGAACATAACTTTTGACAGTGCCTCACTTTGTGATAAACACAAGAGATAAATATGCTGAAGTTTATGAGGATAGTGGTATCTGCGAAGCCTCATAGTTATTATAAAGTGGAACAAAGAAATTGACTGGAGGGTGATTTGAACCTGCAACCTCCGGATTATCATACTGGTTTTCTACCAACTGAGCTTTCCAACCCTATGTTGGCGGTTTTCCGGGCTTTTCACAACCCGGCCTGCATCTGGGTACCGTAAAGTCAGCTTGCCCAATTTCTGGATGCCACCGTTTTTAAATTTCGGACTAAATTTCACGACACTGAAGTTGTTAACAAAGCTTCAATAGCTAGCATTATTAAGGTGAAAGTACCAGTACTCACGTTTGGAAATGAATGAATTTGAAGTTTGTCAGCAAAGACTTATGGCAACACTGCATGAGGATAGTTGAGGGAAACATGGAAGTGCGCCACGTTAGGGGACTCCACTTAACTGGCACCTAGTCAGTTTTCCGTTGTGGTTTATGTCATTAAATCAAATAGCACTAAGGGGCCGTTCACAATTATCAACATTTTCACAAGTGTACAAAGAGTACACTTTTTCAAGACCCCCCCCCCCTCCCCCCTAAAAGTGTACGAAATTTTTTTTTTTTTTTTTCACACAAGTCTATATATAGACACTTGCATGTGATTTAAAGGGTTTTTATAACTTTTGTAGATCAAGTTTTTGTACTATACATGTACATGTACATACAGTACATTTTCATGTACATGTACATGTACGTGTGTAGGACAATGCTGCGCATGCTGCACACAATACGTTCATGGGATGCAATGCGGGGCCTGGCGCGGGGCGCGACCGGCTCGGCTGTGGCGACGGGCGAGAAAACAGATCGACATTTAAAAAAAAAAAAAGCGTTAGGCGGGCATTAACGGGCGAAAAAACATATCGACATTTAAAAAAAAAAAAAAGCGTACGGCGGCCATTAACCCCCTCCCCTCCAGCGTACGGTTTGTACGCACGTGAAAATGTTGATAATTGTGAACTGCCCCTAAAAAAATGAATGAATATCTTATTTTTCTATGCTGTTGTTAGGTTGACCGTGAGTACCGAGTCCAGCAGGCCCTACACAGAGCCAACTTCCCTGTACCCACGCCTCTAGCTTACTGCAGTGATGCATCGGTCATTGGTACTGACTTCTACGTGATGTCGTTTGTGAAGGTTTGTAAACGCTGCACGGAATCCTCTACATAACAAAATTAAATCAGGACAATCAATTAAGAAAATAATAAGAAGGTGTTTATGATGTGTGCACCATGACATGACGTGGGGCGCTGTGGTCCAATGGTTATGGTGTTCGACTCGTGTGCCGTGGTACACGGGTTCGAGTCCTGACCGTGGGAACATGGTGCTTGTGCTCTTGAGCAAGGCACTTTACCATTATTGCTTCGTCCTTCGGATGGGACGTTAAGCCGTAGGTCCCGTGTGTTGTGTAATGCACGTTAAAGAACCCAGTAACACTTTGTCGCTAAGAGAAGGGGTTTGCCCCGATGTTTCTGGCAGTGGCAGCAATTATGCGCCGCAGCACCTTGTAAACCCTTTTAAGGTGCAACATAATGGGTCTCATAAAGTTCATATACTTCATTTACCTGGCTTGGTTGCATTCTCCCCAGCGCTTTGTATCCTCTGGCAAAAAGCGCTATATAAATACAGTTATTATTATTATTATTATTATGACAGAATGCCTCACATGGTGAAAAAAAAATTTGATAAATTATAACTCAAAATAGCCACACACAAAAATGAAAAAATATATAAAAATACTTTAATAGTGGCGTTTTACCATTGGATCTGAATTTTTGTTAGGTGAGGTTGTTTCTAGTGTTCCAACAGGAAAAAGGGCGTTTCAGTTATTCCCTTGGACCTATATTCAAGTACGCAACTTTTCCTCGGATCAGTCGATTTCCTTGTTTTTCACCTCACACTTATGCCATTAAAAATTGGAAAAACACTGTATAAAATCTTGAACTGCTTGGAATTTCCTCTTTCTTAGGGTTACTTCCCAGCACACCTGTAATCGCAGCATAGGGTTGTAATACACTACACTGAGTTGAGTTGAGCAGGGATAATAAAATGGATAATGGCCACACTGAGAGAACCTGTTTGGTTGATATGTGCCCTGTATAAAATAGTACTTGTGTTTTAGGGTAATGATATCTTTATATTGCATTCTTGAAGGGTCGTATATTCCGAGATGTCACCCTGCCTAACATGAGTCCATCCGAACGCAAGCAGATCTACAATGCCATGAATTCTACCTTAGCTCACCTGCACAGCTTGGACTGGAAGCAGCTCGGTCTGCAGGGCTTTGGCAAAGAGGGCAACTATTGTGGACGTCAGGTACAGTGTGCTTTACCATTGACTGTGCAAATCCTGGAGTTGTAGAGTTATGAATTTTATATTTAAGATTTTACCAGCCTACCCCAGCAAGCTTTGTGATCGAGTGGAAAGACGTCTGCACCTGTGAGCAGAAAGTCTTGGGTTCGAGCCCCAACTGAGCAAGCTTGTGAATTAATCCTCCTGGTGGGAAGTCGATATTCAGAACAATATGTAAAACCCTTTAAAATCATGCAGGTCAGTTTCAGGTGAAGGGACATGAAATGTTTATTAAGTACATGTAACTGTGTCACACAGAGAGTCACTGCACACACACAAAAACCAGAATTGTGGAGAGCAGTGAAGTGTGATCGAATCTGCCTGCTTGTCCTGAGCTCAACCCCACAAATGAATTGTGCAGGGTTTTGAAGTGCTATCCATACTCCACCATGACGAAAACGGCCCTCTTAAGAAAGTTGCTTGTTTCAGGCACCATTTTGGACCTCTGTGGGGCTCCTTAAGTAAACAAACTCTGATCCCCAGTCTACTGTCCCACATAAATCACTTGAAGGTTAAATGAACTACCACCTGTTATTAGCCACACTGCTTTCTGGAACTGCAAGTTTGGGGACGAGAGTCAGCACAAACGGCCACAGTGAAAAGATCGTTCTCGGCCATTTATTCACCGATTTTCACAGTTCAAAATATAAAATAAGTCAACATTTAAGGTACATCATTATGATAATACTTTTATCGGCAGACAGATTGATTTCAGCAACAAAGTATTATGCTTGAAATCTTGATATGATGACAAACATCAAATAATGTAGGGTCTATGGTCATGTAGCCATGAAACACCATGTCACATGGTTTCTGTCGACAGATAAACACCTGGGCCAGACAATTTCAGGGTGCCACTAAGTTAGCCTCTTTACCAGACGACCCCACAGCTAAGCAGCTACATGAGTGGTTAGTAGACAACAAACCAACGGCTGAGGAAAAGACTACCATTGTCCATGGAGACTTCAGGCTTGACAACATGATCTTCCACCCAACACTGGTGAGGAATTACATTTGTTGGCGTTTTTTGTTTTTTGGTGTTTTTTTTGTGATTTTTTGTTTTTTGTAAAAAACAAAACCCAAAATTTCATTTTATTTGAGATCCCGTCAGAGGAGCTCTGTATTTTATTATTATGCGAAAATGAGCAAATATGATAAAAAAATTGTGGCCTATGATAAGTTTATATAGAGGAAAGACATCTATCCGCTCCGTTCACAAGTACACCCTCACCGGCAAAGAGAGTACAGTTGGGGGTGACCGACCGACGCCATCTTGCCTGACTGCAATTCATTTGCCGCTAAGCGCGGCCACTGCGTGTACATAGAACAAATCCCCTGGTGTACGTGCATCACACAGAAGAAACGGTGCGCATCAACCAGCGAAATGTCCCGCCCATGGGACGTCGTTGCTAGGTAAAAGGGCGCTCTTTTTTCGGCGCAAGGAGCCCATCCACATCATTACATTTTTTCCCTGATTTCAGCCCAAGGTTATCGCCGTCTTAGACTGGGAGTTATCAACTCTCGGTGAGCCACTGACTGATCTTGCGTATGCTTGCATGCAATATCACTACCCTGAGGAGATGCCTATTCAGCTTATGAACCCTAAACGTGAGTATCTGTTGTTCCTAAGTCATTTTCTGGAGATAATATCAATTCGTGCGTACTTCACACTTTACTTGCGTGAGCCAGTGGTGTTGAGTGCTCGCATGAAGTGTGTCCCTCCAAAGGAAAATTTAAAAGTGGTCGAAAGGCGCCATCTACTGTGCATGGGCAAGCTCCATTGTCCATTCTTACATTAGGCCCCCCCCCCCTCCCCCCCTTAAAAAAAATGTTGTGTTTCCAGTAACCCGACCGGACATAGAGTCGGCGATGATTTTTTTTAAATTTTTTTTTTTACCAACATTTACCAGTTGACCAGTGGCCGTTGTGACTCACGTTGAGAATGTTGGTTAAATTCTCCATTATTCTTAAGAATCATCAACCTTAAATATATTTTTATATTAATTGAAGCAAGTGTTTGTGTGTCAGTGTCAATAGCCTTCGTGGCACAAATGAAATAAGTCAGGAATTCCTCCATGGTGAAATGAAGACGGGCACTAGCAGTTGCTCTCTACACCAGAGAAACAATCTTAGCATTTTGGAGTTTTACGGGCATATTTTAGCCACTTGCTCCCCATTAATTTCGGAGCCCTGATAAAAGTATAAAAAGTCATTCTTAGGACATTCTATATCTTTATATTACAATTTAAAACATACCTCAGTGGAAATACATGTATGCAAAGACTGGCATTGATGCACAGGTACATACAACATTAACCCTTACCCTACTTGACCCTCCAACGCATGCCAATATGTGCCTCAAGAAAATCTCCTATGTTTTTTGCATGGCCCTCCAATATCTGCCATGTCATTTCAAGGGTAACTGGACAGGCACTCCAATACATGCCACAGAGAACAATGAGAGTCCTCTGATAACAAAGTGAGTGCCCCCAGCTGGTCAGTATCAGGCACCCTCCAGGGCCTCCAACTCCTGCCAATTGGAGCCTTCACTGTCAAGATAGTTTATCTGCCAATATACTGCAGCTGGAGGGCATTGGCATAACCAACTGACATGCAGTAAACTACCCTCAGAGAGTAAGGGTTAAAAAACAAAATTCTCAAAAAATAATAAAATCTCGACCAACCGACCCTTAATTGTTTTGGCGATATTGCTGGAAACCCAACATTTATTTTTTTTTGGCAAAATGTAAGAAATGCAATGCTGCAATGTTTATTCTCACCTGAATGTGCTCATTACAGAGGAGGTTTTCTCCCCACTGGAGAGGGTTCCCGGGATCCCCAGGGAGGTAGACTACATCATGGCGTACTGCCAGCGCAGAGGCCATCCCTACCCCCTCCCGCACTGGCACTTCTATCTGGGCCTTTGTCTCTTCAAGATGGCTTCCATTTGCCAAGTATGACTTACTATGTTTGAAAGACATTCTAGTTTGTAAAGAACATCCTCAATTTGTTTTTTCTTTTCTTTTTAAGTGTGAACCCTGAACATGAAATAATTGGATTGAAACTTGTCAGTTTTAAAATTTGATAAGTCACAAGCTTTTAAATAAAAAAAATGCCCCAAAATAACTTTACAGAAGGGGATAACAGAGTGATGGAGCAGTGATAAACATGTGGGTTAAAACCGCATAGGGGCCTGGCCGCAGAGGATGGCCCAAGCCGAAGGCGAGGGCTATTATCGGTGACGGGGCCCTTAACCGGTTTTAAACATCACGTTTAAAACACGTGGAGCGCAGGGTCTCACGGCCAGTTTTAAACATCAGTGTTTTAACACTGACTGGTGTTTAAAGGTATAGTCCATCATTGGTAATTTGTGCATTTTGTTCGTTTGAAGCAACAAAAGTGCTCGAGATCTAAAGAAAGGTGCTGAACAACTAACCTAATGAAGTTTCAGCTCAGCTTAACCCTAAAGGGGCCGGGTTATTTTGACCATCTCTCAGCCGGGGGGCGGATTCCGCCCCCCCCTAAGATCTCGGCCATCGAGTGACGAAAAATTTTGAAACTCAGCACATGCATAGAGCAACTCTTCCTAAACATGCCCAAGAAATTTCATGACTATAGGTCAAAGGGTTTTGGAATTATGGCTAATTAATTATTCATATGTATGAATGGCAATTCTGCTCGGCGTACACGACGTATATGCGAAAAATCAGTTTTCACGGCGCGTAGCGCCGGAAAAGTTTTCGCTACGGGCCAACCCGTGGTCCGATTTTTATGTTTTTGGTATCAAAAGATGCGCAAAGCCCGAGGCTAAAAAGTCATAACAGCTCGGGTCGCGAAAAAATTTTTTTTAGAAGCTATCGCGGAAAATGTTGAGGGGGGGGGGCGGATTCCGCCCCCCCGGCCCCTTTAGGGTTAATTCAGCTGTATATTTTGAGAAAAACAACATTACAGGTTCTTGATTTCAAATCAAATGTTGCTGAATCATGTTTTGAATTGGGCCTGAATTCAGCGTCCGAGACACGTTCTCACTGAGCTGATTGCAGCTACGCGATGTCGCGCACTGATCCGACGAATTATAGCAACTGCTCGCACGTGTGCGTCATGCCAACGCCAGCCCGCGCTTCGCCGAATAAAAAAAACGAACTACAGTCAAACCTGTACAGAAAGACCGCTGAAGGGAAACAATAAAAGCGGTCTTTATAGACAGGTGGTCTCTCTGTACAGGTTGGAAATATTTGCCCTCCCTTTGGCTTCCCTAACTTAATGCGGGGGGTCATTACAGTCTAAACCTGCCTTATCCAAAAGTACAGTCAAACCTGTACAGAAAGACCGCTGAAGGGAAACAATAAAAGCGGTCTTTATAGACAGGTGGTCTCTCTGTACAGGTTGGAAATATTTGCCCTCCCTTTGGCTTCCCTAACTTAATGCGGGGGGTCATTACAGTCTAAACCTGCCTTATCCAAAAGTACATGTATGTTCTTCTTTCTTTTAGTTATTTGTTTAAAACATAACTACACTGTTTTTCTTTTAAACAAAATAATGAAATTAAAAGTCATAAATGTGAATGATTTCAAAAAGTGTTTATTATTTTATGTTAATATTATGTGAGAATCAGCTGTACTGGAGCAGCAATACCTGCACAACCACAAGTAAAAGTAGGGTCCTACAAGAAAGGGGAAGTTTCTCTTTCCGAGATTCTCAACGATCACACGATCAACTTAAGTTATGACCTCCATTTTCATTTGAAGTGAAAGCTAACTTCAATAATACCTTCCAGGATTCGGGCTTGAAGAATTTGGAGCCATATTCTTTCTTTTTCAAAAGCAATATTGGAACAAACTCGCTTTATAAATGACAGGGCAGATGCAATCTACGCGATGTTGTGTAAACACAATGTGCAAAATTGCACATGCTGGCAAACTTGCTGAAAAGCTCAAAGGTCGATCAAGAGCACAAACAAATTTAAATCTTTTTTTCACGATTTAAAAATAAAGTTGATCAATAAACTTGACAACAAAAATACTTGAGTATGTTGTTGGTTTTTGTTTTTCAGAAAACTTGTAAACGAATTTTAATTTAATTTATTTTAATGATAACAAAAGTATGTGAGTGGACGAGACTGATACTGATAGGTCACAAGTCATGCACATGCCTAGTGCATTTTGTTGAATGGAGCTCAGCTATCCAAGCTGCTGCACTGACAATAGGGGCATTGTTGATGCGACCACAGACCCAGATTAAGCTTGAAAATGTCCTGGAAATCCTGTGGTTGAGTTACTAATCCTCTGAAGTGGTTTATGTGGCTCTTGCTTTTTCTTTTGAGTAAGGAATCAACCATTGTACAGAAACAAGTGGGCATTTTGTGGTCGCTTTTCATGGCTTGCGGTCGTTCTGTACAGACTTAAGCATTCCTAGGGAAGCAAAATGTGCAGTCGCTGGTCGCGTTAAGCAGGTGGTCTTTCTATACAGGACTTAAGTAATGGGATTTGTCAGCGGGGACTTTTAAATGGTCGTTACGGACAGGTGGTCTTTCTGTACAGTGGGTCGCTAAGGCAGGTTTGACTGTACTAACGGAAATTTCCAACTGTGCCGTTGGAAAGGCCTTTTTTCGTTGATTTCTTCAAAATGACAGCTTGCCAGAAAGGATAATTTCACAGGGAGTTTAGTCCCCTTACTATCTTTCAACCAAGTATGTTTTACCACAGTAATTACGTCAGTTACTTTGGATAGCTGCAGATGATGGACCATAGCTTTAAAGGCAGTTTAAGACCACCATCGTGATAGGCTTTCGACCAATACCAATGGGTAAACTGTCTCTGGTAGTTATGAACCTGTGAATTCTGATTTCAATTCTTATTAAGTTTTTTTAATAATGTTTTGGTACTTACAGTTGCTCCATTATTTCATTTCAGGGGGTGTATTGTCGTGCCCTTCTTGGTAATGCAAGTTCTGAGTTTGCTAGCAATTATAAGGAAATTGTCAACTTGATGCTAGGCGTGGGACTAGAACAGATCAAAAGGTAAATACACAAACTTGTTTTCCAAATTTTAAAAACAAATTTCAAAACAATAAACACAATAACCAGCTTAGAATAAACACTGTATGCTGCACGGTAGTTCACCCAGACTGTTGAACAGCACGTGCATAGTTCTCACATATTAATCATAGTACTTCTCCCAACCTTAAAGAAAAGTTTTCCTACCCTTAATTTTGCCACCACTTCGGAATTCCCCCCCCCCCCCGGCCTCCCCCTCCCCCCCCCCCCCCCCCCCGGCCTCCCCCTCCCCCTCCCCCCTCCCCCCCCCCCCTCCCCTGGCCTCCCCCTCCCCTGGCCTCCCCCTCCGATAAAAATCTTGTATAATATCCCATTTCAATTACTGTTGGATCAACAGACTGGTACCGGAGGGCCAGTTTACAATCTTCTTTGTACCTGACTCATGACTCACTGAGTCTCTTGTAAAGTATCTCACCGACTGATTGTCACTTGTGAATAAGACTAGTTACCTATCTCACTGACTGACTGTCACTTGTGAATAAGACTGGTTACCTATCTCACTGACTGACTGTCACTTGTGACACTGGTCTGGGAGCAGCTTACAAAGCTGCCTGTTTATCTCCAGCACTAGTCTTGGTTCCAAGACGTCCTTAGCTGTGCGATGTTTTAGTAAGCACAGGTTATTGGACTGGGCAGTGATTCACTGAAGCAGGAGCCCTTTACACACACGCCAACAGTCCGCAAAGTACTTCTTCGGAGTGTGCATTTGCATGCGTGCGTGACATAAGCATGTCTGGTTTCTGTACTTACATGTACTGCAGTTTTTCAATCCAGGCATGTTCAGCTTGCAAGCGAGCCTACATGCGTCATGGATAGAAAATGCCCACCATGTGGACAAAGCGATAAATTTGGCAGCAAAGAAACTGAGCCTTTGAAGGCTAAATATCAGTGCCTTTCATCAATTTGGATGTGGGCATGATTCGACCAAACAGTACGGTTGACCCGTCAGCACCTAGTGCCATCGATTGCACGTGTATGTACGGTATGTCGAACTACCCCGTTAAGAACGTCTTGCACCAAGTCAACTACAGCACATTTGCATTAGTCTGGCGTTGCTTGTTTTTGTGTACTTTCATGATACATGAGTAGGCAATAAGTCAGGTCTTCATAAAACAGGATTTTCAATTCAATTACTTTACCAGCACAGCATATATTCTACAAACTTTGTAGCCTTTGAATCAATTGAATGGAATTTTGTGTGCTTCAAACCAGCATTACCAGGCATACCTTGCCTTGTTACCTTTACACAGGGCTGAAGTAACTGGCAGTCAGACGTCCTCTATCATTCTGGAGATGAAACCAGTGCTGGAATCTCAACCGATATCGGAGAGAGCGAGCCAGATTCTGCAGAAAGTCAAAGACTTTATCAAGAATGAGATCCTACCTGCTGAAGAAGTAAATGTGATGATGTTTCATTAGCACAGAGCACTCTCAATCTGATTGCAGTGCAAGGCTTGAAATATTCTCATGATGGCTGGACCAAGTCCAGTGACCTAGGCCACTGATTTAACATTAAAGCTTTCCTCTATATGAATAATAATTGTAATGCTTATACAGGGTGGATTAAAAAGAATGAAACTGAGATATTATTGCTAATTGGAACAGAAGTAGGGCACATGTGAATCAAAGGGAGATATCCTCTGTTAGGGTTGAATCTCCTCTTTAAAATGACACCCTGATCATGTCCTTACATTCACAGTTGACTGAGCAATGACCAATTTTACGAAAGGGTCTATTTAGAGAATTGCGCCACTTTTCATGGTGAAATCTTTTTTTTTTTTCCACCTGCCTTGATGGCAACCATGGCCTTTCACTCTGTGACAAATGACACCACAAAAACCACAATTGAAAAGTGGCGCAATTCTCTAAATAGACCCTTTCGTAAAATTGGTCACTGCTCAGTCAACAGTGAATGTAAGGACATGATCAGGGTGTCATTTTAAAGAGGAGATTCAACCCTAACAGATGATATCTCCCTTTGATTCACATGTGCTCTACTTCTGTTCCAATTAGCAATAATATCTGGGTTTTTTTTTTTATCCACCCTGTATAGTGCTTGCCATCATTTCAAAAATCTCAAAGCGCTTTACAATTACTACCATGTTCATCAGGCCATAAGACCATGCGGCAGCTGATATCAGCGCACATTCTGTCTCTACCCTCACAAGTACCCATTCATACTCATGGGTGGAGAGAGACAATTGTAGTTAAGTGTCTTGCCCAAGGGCACAAACACCATGTTCCTGGTAGGGTTCAAACCCAGGTGCCATTGTACATAAGTCAAACAGTATGACCACTGGACCATGGCATTCTACGGACTCTCTTGCCAGTATTGGTCTTGAACCCTGTAAGTCCTGTATCATCCCAAACTGCACTGACTGTTACTTCCTGCGCCACCCGACTGTATGGTTTTATGGTTTCATCAGAGATTAAATACAATGTAATACAATGTATTACAGGTGCTAAGGGTTTAACTTGATATTTATCTTGGATCTTAGATGTACTTTAAGCAGGTGCAGAGTGCTGATACCATCTGGTGCGTGCCACCCATCATGGAAGAGCTCAAGGCCAAAGCCAAGGCTCAGGGACTATGGAACCTGTTCCTGCCAGCCCAGAGTGGCCTAGGCCAGCTGGAGTATGCCTTCATGGCGGAGGCTATGGGACAGTCACCCATCGGCTCAGAACCCTTCAACTGCAGTGCGCCAGGCATGTACTGTTAAGCTAGACGCATAATAAGTGTTACTGTATATGGACTCAATGCACGAAATGTAAATACATTTGTTGCGATTTGCGACCACTTCCCAGAGTGCCAGTGGGAGGGACGCACCTGTTTGCGCGTTTGTGGTGCAAAGTACCCACAGGTAATTTTATGCTGAATTTGCACGAACGTCTTCTCATGAGTGCCTGGTGCCATGGGCACCTGGTCCTGGTCTCCCCTAACTCTCCATTTGTAACCATTGAGGGGGTACTTGTGCACGGAGTCCGTATTGGCCATAGTGTTTTGCCTCAGGTTGCCATTTGTTTTGAGGATGGTAAAATGGATATGGATGGATATAATGCACACACATATCCACCAACTATGTGCTCAATGCATGGTGCATCATCGTTATTATTACCCCTGCTCATTGGACCAATGAAAACATGCCAAAGATCATCTCGGCTCCCAGGGGAGTATACAGCTTGATGCTGCTGCATAGGCGCAACCGGCTTTAAATCAAACACAACTACCTCTAGTATCTGCCCTCAATGGGACCCATTTTCCCCTGAGTGGGGAGACACCATTGATCTCCATTAATAAGACTAGATAGGTCACAGCGCCTTCCATTTTGTGCACACACGCGTAGTCATCGGTGAGGGTTTGAAAGTTTGAAATGCGTTCACACACGCGTTTTCCGAATCTTCACCGCGCGCAAGTGTACGCTTGTCCTACCCAGTCTTTATGGAAATCAATGGGAGACACGTTGAGTGCAAAGTGTCTTGCACAAGAACACACACACTACAACCCTAGTCTGGTTATTATTGACTACAAAACTTTGTGGGCAAAATATCCGCTTCTCACGCCATCAAGTCTTGAACAACTCGTGAACACACACACCCAGTCTGTAAAGAACTCAATGTGAAATTTCAGGACCCATCCTTACAAGTATCAGCTGCTGTAAATAACTCAGCTGCTGTAAAGTAACTAAGATTAGCTCAAGTTGACCTGCACAGGAGATGACATGTTGTATCAACTCAATGTCAATTCCTCATTATTCCACTTTATGACGGTAATAGATTACTCATTAAAAGAATTCAACAATTCAAAATTGGACTTTTGGAAACATATTTGATCACATCCATCATTGTATTAAAGTGAAATATTCATTTCCCGCGGTTCGCAGTATAGCGGGAAATATTTGTATTAGAGTTTCGGACAATGCATAGTGTGCATTACGAAGCCAGGAGGTATTATATAATAGGGCGTTGGCAGTAAGGTTTAATAGAGAGGTATTGTGACAATGAAGTCAGTTCTAGCGAGCACTCCATAGTGACAACACTATTTTCGAAATAACGTTTATAGAAACATATTTGGAAAAAAGATTATTTGTGGCAACATAATATAATACAAGGTGAAGTCCAACACCTTCACGGAGGAGAGCGTTGAATGTTGTTGGGCACAGGTTTTCAGAGCATTTTAACAATTTTATCTCTGTTTTTTCCTGGACGTCGCGTTCTCCGATGATGTGTTATCTAAATCATGCATAATACAACATGGTATATTTAAGATGTGAGACTAATTGGTATTCTAAAGTCTTGATAATGGGTTTAATGTGACCAAACTTGCAATTTCATTTTGGTATTAGAGTGCAAACTGTCAACTTGTTCATTTTGTTAATGGTCCAAAAGGATCTAGTCATTGGAAGGGCAAACAGGCTTTGCCCATTTTGTTAATTGTTAATTTTTAATGTATAATTTTGTTATCGGAGGGCAAACAATCTTTGCCATCAGCAATAAACTGCGGGAACAGGCGGCGCTCAAAGTGCTCTGCTTTCGCCTAATATAAAATATGTGTTATATTAAGTGTGATTTATGTCATTAGTATAGATAAGACGAGTTAATATTGTATGCTTTACTTGAAAAGCATATTTTTCCAAACATTAATCGTACCTAATTGACTTCTTTTGTTTTTAGATACTGGCAACATGGAGGTCTTGCATTTGTATGGGAGCCCAGAGCAGAAGACAACCTGGCTGCAACCTTTGCTGGATGGGAAGATACGCTCCTGCTATTGCATGACAGGTATGTGAGTAGTCGTAACAAGTTTTTGAAACCGGGACAGAATGGTTTTGATCGATGTCTCGTTCAAAAGCAATTAACTTTGGTATTTCTAGAAAAACAGCAATGTTTTAGAAATCATAAAAAAATAGCATGGCCAGTACATATGATTAACAGTGGAATATTGTAGCATTGGAAGGTATTTTTCATAAATGCATAGTACCAGAACACCTCCATTTCAGCACTAATCCGCAGAATTTTTGCTTGCAGCTATAAAGCATATTTGTAATTACGGTAAAATCTTGGGGTGGTGGGGGGTGAAAAAGACTGAAAGGTGACCATCGCATGATCATTTGTTTCTTTAGAGCCAGCCGTTGCGTCAAGCGATGCCACCAATATGGAATGCTCCATCGTGAGAGAAGGGGACAGCTATGTCATCAATGGCAGGAAGTGGTGGAGTAGCGGTAAGTCGATTGTTGCAATGAATTTCAAAATGAAGGGAATAATAGTTTGCTCCAACACACTATTATTTCCTTTCATAAATACATTTTTGGTCAAAAACTTTAAAAAGTCGAAGTATTGACGAAATTCTGACTTAGGTTTGTTCAACAATTTACTCCATGGTCAGGCCACTGATGTGCGCATCGCACTCGCGTGGTTTTCTCAAAGTTTTGTTCTCCGTATATGGAGATCATAATCAGCTGTTCTAAAGCACCTGTTTATAGGCGCATGCAGCCCGTACTGCGTACATGTGGCACGGAGAGTTTCAAAAGTCATTAACCTTTGTGTAAACCGCAGTTTAAGACCAACTATGTGATGGGCTCTCGACCAGTAGGAATTGGTAAACTGTCACGATATTTATGAATTAAACTTAAGTGGTTATAAGGCACAAAGAAAAAGAAAAAAGCTGTTCCAAAAGCTCTCATGATGTTTCATATGATCCATGTCTTTATTAGGTGCTGGTGATCCCCGTTGTAAGGTAGCCATCTTGATGGGATTGACTCCCAACAAGGATAAATCCAGGTAGGTTCGCAAATTGAGCACTTGCTGTTTTCAATGTTTATTTATTTCTGCACTGTCCACCATCATTTGCTATCAATGTATTACAGTGGAACTCTGCTATAACGAACACAGCAGGATCCACAGAAATTGTTGGTAATAGGGATCATTCGGTTTAGCGATTTTAAGCTGCCGGTGTTCCGGTACTCATTTTTCATTAAATAGCGCCCTTCACAACTTCACCCTGCAGGAAGCTTTGGTAGTTACTGAAAGACGACGTTGAACACGTGCCGACTATTGAATTATGTAATTGCAGTGCTATTGTATATGATTACCCGTAAAGAGCTAAACCCAATGTATACACCGGATGCATGAAAAGACTTTCAGTGAATAGCCATTCTGAATCATTTGAATGTAGATTCAGAATGGGACCAGCTTTGCTACGCTAGATCTCATATCAACTGATGCAGCCATTTGAACTGCACACAGAAGTGAAGATTTTATTGTAGTTGCGCAATTATTCAGATGTGCTTTGCGTTAGACTGTAAACATACAAATGATTTCAACTTTCTTCAATAGACCCTTTACATTCAGCAGACATCTTGAGGGTTTTTTAATTCAGTTTAAGTAAATGCATATCCCTGTGGAACAAAAGCATACCTTCAAGATGGCTAAAATGAAAAGGATAAATAAGAAACATTTGATGACTGATAAGATCTCTTTTAATTGGTTTAAATTTTTTTTTAGGCACCAGCAGCACAGCATGATTGTAGTCCCAATGGATCTGCCCGGTGTTAAGAAGATCAGACCACTAATGGTGTTTGGTAGTCCAGGTACATGTATAGACTAATGTTTTGCAAACCCAACCCAAAACTGACCCGACCCAAAACCGCCTTCGGTTCGGGTCTGGTCGGGCTGGGTTGGTTTTTCTATCATTTCAGTCGGGTCAGGTCGGTTTTTGCGTTTGCCATTTTCAGGTCGGGTCGGTTCGGTTAAGCCATCTTGTGCAAAACCCGAAGTTAACCACAGTTTGGAAATTCACACATTGCAATATTGCAGAGTTAGTGTGCCCGGTACAACCATTGCAATCCACCACTCAAATGTGATTGTGGTACATGTATGCGGTCTATCACGCACAGTCTATAACGTGTAGGCCAAACAGTAGGTAACATATGAGTCTTCATAGTACTGTATTCATATACGGTGTGATTCTTTACCGAGAGACAACAATTTTCATGCGGCGTGGCTATATAAGTTCAGGCACAAAAAGCGGACACAGTTGTCCTAGCCAGATATTCGGTTGTTTTTTTTTCGGGTCGGATCAGTTTCGGGTTGGTTCAGGTCCATGTTCCTTGAATTTTAGTCGGGTCGGAGTTCAGATCGGTTTCGTTTCGGATTAGCTCAATATCTATAATGCATAGGGTCAGTTTGGCCTGGTCAACCTGACCCGATGCACATCAATAGTATAGATTAATCCGGCCAACAACAATTGAAGTCTTTACTGGGTGGGAACTACATGAAGGCACACATGCATGTCACATGCGATATTTTGTTATATCTTGTGCGCGGCTACTGTAATTTCATTGGTCTAGGACGGCCACGTGTCTGGACAATAAAGACGCATGTCACACACTGAAGGTGATATCGTAATGCCTTCATTGCACGCATTGCACGCTCGTGTGGAACCTGCCGGCGTGCTAGCTTTGCGCATTAATGAGAACTGCAACGTCAAATGCTCAGTCTCATGTCTGGCAGGACATCAAAACCTTTAGTTATTAAAGGTTACATCGCAGTGATTAATTTATTTCTCACAGTAAGTTTATACAACCATATATCCTTTTGAGTTATTGACACGATATAACAAAATTATAAGATGGAATTTTGCGTCGGGGTGATATAAATCAAATTAGGTTTTGCCCTTCACCAATGTTTAAACACTGTATGCTCAGTGTGTTACCTCCCGAGTGAAAGTTGGAAAAAATCACTCGGGTGGGACTTGAACCCACGACCTCCTGCTTTCTAGTGCAGATGTCTTACCACTCGACCACTGAGCTAACGGGATCGGTTGGCTGGTTTGAATCGGATGTACATAGCAGCAGGTACCGCATAAACTATTATAAGATGGAATTTTTGCGTCGGGGTGATATAAATCAAATTAGGTTTTGCCCTTTACCGACGTTTCAACGTCGGTGAAGGGCAAAACCTAATTTGATTTAACAAAACAATTGTTGACTGCTGTGATGTGGGGTATGCCGTTTTTAACCCCCTCGGGGCGCATAGCACCCTCGGCTTCACCTGGGGTTCCAGATATCATGCTCAAAGTCAGGATGCTGTGTGATGCAAGCCTTAGAAATTCATCAGGCATTGATGCAGAGGACGCAGCTTTCAAATAAAAAATTCTATGATTGTAATAATTTTCAATAACACATGTTCTTTTGTTCGCAGATGCCCCTCACGGCCACTTTGAGGTTGAATTTACCAACGTGCGCGTGCCGGCCACCAATATGATTCTTGGCGAGGGGCGTGGCTTCGAGATTGCCCAGGGGCGTTTAGGTCCCGGCCGTATCCACCACTGCATGCGCGCCATCGGTCTGGCTGAGAGAGCACAGCAGATGATGTGTGACCGTGCCATTAAGAGAAAGGCGTTTGGAAAAGAGCTCGCCAGAATGGTAAGAAACGAAGGCAGTTAATGACTCGCCAAAAACACTTTTATTTTTTTTTTTTATTATTATTATTTATTATCAAACCCTTGCGACCAGATGGCCGAATTGCGGTTTAATGTACAATAAAATGATTTTGAAAAGTTAAAATAACAGTTAAAATCACAGTAGTCATTACATTAGAAATATATACTTTAGAAATACATTAGAAATTTTACCATTTCTAATTTTACATTAGAAATATATAAACTTCAAAGGCATGTATAGGAACATTGGTTATTAAAACGGACCTATCAACTTTATGAGAACAAAACTTGCTGAAAGTGAAGAAGGACCAATATCAAGTGCCCATTGAAATTATTTTGCCTGATGAAGATATCGTTAGAAGAAAACAAAAACTGAAAATGTGACCCCTTCCACAAACAAGGTATTATGTCACAAAAAAAGAGTGAAATTGACGTATAGACATGGTTGGATAGCCCACAATGTATGCTTTCATTTCGTATATGATAGAGCTTCATAGCTTTCACCCATGTGGAGATATGAGGTATTTGCATGTTAAGTACTTCCTTGGAGTTCGAATTACACCACTGAGAAAACAGGCTTCGAAATACCTGTAGCTGGCTCTGTTGTAGATTTGGGCGCGATGCACTCAAAATTGTAGTTTTTTCCCACTTCATTCATCGAAATCAACATTTCTGTGAATGAACCCTAAATCTTTAGGTATTAAAGATGTCATTCATAACAAAAGAGGAAAATCAGATTTTGAAGAAATTTTCGAGGGCATTACACGATAATGCACAGCGTGTGTGGAGCGGGTCACAAATGGTTTTAAAGAATGTGCCGGTGGGCTTGTAATGGCACTTTAAGCACATAATTTTTTCATCAGTGCAGAGTTCCTTGGTTAGCAGAGCTATGACATTGGGCCCAGGCGTCTTTTGTTACAAACAGCTTCTTCATTCCATGCCACTAAACTCTAGCCCTTCTTTATGCCATCCTGCTTCTGTAGGGTGTTGTTCAACACCAGATAGCTGAATGTCGTCTGGAGATAGACCAGGCCAGATTGCTGACTCTCAAGGCGGCTCATACCATCGACAAGTACGGGACCAAGAAAGCTCGCAAACAGGCAAGTTTGTCTATCTACCTTTACATAGGGAATTATTTTTAGAACAGCTTCAGTATGGTCTCCGTGCGCGAACAAGAGGGAGCGTTTGTTCAACACTTTCAAGGGCCCCGTGGTTTGGACACACTGTGTGTGCGTACTGGTCCCCACGCGTATAGCGCGAATTAAAGTATGCACAACTTATTTTATGCTGAATGTGCACATAGCATCTTCTGGTGAGCAGCAGCCGTCATCAGCAGTGTGTTTGAATGTCTCGCCCAATGGTCTCCCCCAACTCTCTCTTTCTTACAGTCGAGGGGGTAGTTATGCACGGGGTCCATACAGTGTATGCAAAAGTACTCACATGACTACCCATAATCAAAAGCTCATATACCGAGACCACATTGCCAAGATTTTCTGGCCTAATTTGTACGCCACCACCTTGTATTTTAATATACTAACACTAGTAACAGACTCCACATACTACTAGACTACAAAAGTAATTCCAGTGAGAGCCATCTAATAAATAATTTGGAAAAAGTTGCAGGGAAAACTTTGCCAGTATCCAAAAGAAACTCTGGGTACTTCAGGGAATCTTGCGAGAAAACCTTGATAGTAGCCATGTGTAGTCTTTGGAAAGTTTCATTGGCCCAATGATCAGGGGTAATAATAATGTAAAGTGCTTTGATCTTAGTTAAAAGCGCTGTTTAAGTACCCGTTATCATCATTCTTAATTGATTGAACAGAAATGATTACATGGCAAGTCCCCGATGTTGCTCACTGACAAACAGCAGCCAATTTTCCATGAGAACTTTGGAAAGGACTGCTAATTTTTGCGGGCCTCAGAGAAGGCTGGCCTTCAGTTCTCTGCGTACCATCTGACAAAGTTATTGACTTACTGACTCCCTGACTCACTGTGACTTGTGAGCTGGGCAGTGCTATCGTGTAGGAATACCAGTGAGTGGGTTAAATTCAGCCCATTGTGTTGAGCAGATGCATGAAAAGAAGCTTCCAGTCAAAAGCCAATCTGAGTCAATTGAAAAGAATTCTGTGCACTCTGGGACCAATTGTACTATTAAAGCTTGCCTTGTCTTGGTGTTATAAACTTTTTTGTTTTTGCCCCTATTTCTGTGACCAGGTGGCCATGATTAAAGTCGTAGCTCCACGTATGCTGACCCGCGTCATCGATCAAGCCATTCAGATCCACGGAGGTGGTGGAGTCTGCCAGGATTTCCCCCTCGCTGCCTTCTACGCCGGGGCCCGTAGCCTGCGACTCGCCGACGGACCCGATGAGGTCCATCTGACCAGCATTGGTCTGCAGGAGCTCAAGGAGCAAGCGCTTAAATCCAATCTCTAAGCAGCTTGGTAGGGAGGTGTACATGTGCGGTCACTGTTAGACCAGCCTGGTATTTTTCTCGGAATTTGAATATTTGAATCATTTTGTAAACTTTGAATGAAAGTATTACAGTCAGCATATGCAATGGTCGGGGTTATGGCACCCTCAAAAACTAAATCTCAAATTGAATTTTGATTTGATACATCAGATAAGATACAAACTTTCTAATTTCTTTTCTAAGTTTGAGAGTCAACCGAACTCGGATATTACAGCATCTCATAATTAAGTTATCAATTTTCTAATGAAAACCTTGTTCAACAAATTAGGCACATGTTATTCTGTGCCACACCGCGCAGCATGCGCTAATCTCAATATAAGGATATTTTTATTACTGTCCGCGAGAGGCACATACCATAAACATAGCTAGAGGCGTGTTTCACAAAACATGAATAAAATTGTTGGAAATATATAATTTTTGACTTGCTTTGACTTTCTGCCCGAAAAGGTATTTTATAAATCACTCTTTGCTGAATTTAAAGGGAATATACATCATTTGCTTTTGCTGTAATTTTCAGAAATGGATGGAATTGGGGGGTTGGAAATATATAGCAAATATAGTTACAATTACTTTTTTGAGGTTTTGGGTTCGAAAATGCTATAAAAACCAAGAAAAACGATCATTTTCCTGTAGTCTGGTTCCCTAAACTCCATATAAGAAGAAACAGAGCAGTTTACATACATTGGGGAATTGTAAGGTCAGGGAACCAGTCTAGCTGGCTTGTACCCGTTCATAGGTGTGTAATCGATTGCAAACAAGTGCGATGGTCAATTGGGGCCAGTATTTGAAAAAAAGCCAGTTTTTCCAATGCTGATCGGCCGATCAGCGTTGGAAATTGATACAAAAATACCACTTTTCTTGAATATGACAGTATACCAGGTGCCATGATTTTACAGGATGCTTTACACTGTCATTCACTAACAGTCCAGCAAGGTATTTCAAAATGATTTGGTAGTTTTATTTTTTGATGTTTGCAAATGTTGTATTTTCCCTTTAATGAGATGTCTTCTCGGCAAGTCTATTAAGTATGAACTCTCAGTCTAGCTTCTAGTCTTAATTTTGCACATGAGGGAAGTTTCCAGTAGTTCTGTTCATTCCTGTAGTTCTGTTTATTATTTCCATCTTACTTCATTTTGTTCCGTGTACTTTATAAAATGTGAACGCAACCTACATGGCTGATGGTATTTCTTTCACAAGATGAATGTAGTTGTAGCTCCAAATCATGTTGAATCAAGCATCCTGTGTTGCTAATCTGTTTGTATAATTCTTATCATGCTCTTTTCGGAGTCACAAATTATCGTTTATAGATGTTTATCTTGGAAATAAAATATTCAAGTGAAAAGAAAAAACAAAAACAAAAACAAAAAACAAAAAGAAAGAAAAAAACAACAATAAAATGAAACGTATTATTTTAATAAAATTTTTCCTTGAAACATTGTCGTATTTTCCATAGATGTATATTGTTATGAAATAATTGTTCATAAATAGAAACATTAATGAATGCTTCAGAATCTCACACACAAAACTAAAATGAAATGTTATGGTACTCTCTAGGTTTATACTAGTCCCTAACAGTTTTTGCTCTCAATTTTTAATGAATCATTTTGAAACTGGTATTGGTGCAGTAGTGTGAGTTTGGCCTACTTATAATGATAACAGTTGCAATAAGGTAATGAATGCTAGCATATTTTAGTTTCTGGCATTGTTAATATCATGCACTTTGATTGCATCAGCGAGAACAGTTGAATATATTTCCATTTATAGTATGTTTTCTTTACTTTCGTAGCCGTCACCCACCTTCAATCATTCGCACTTTTGATACATTGACCTCTTTTTTCTTAAGTTGCAGAATACCTATTGGTTAGTAGTGCATTACCTCATACAATTATGGTATTGATGTTTATTAATTTCTGGGGGATGTATTAAAAATGTTAAATTGTGGGTCCCTAACTTGTGAGAATTGGAGGACCTGACGCAAATTGTGGCGCCAAATATTCTCTTAAATTTGATGCGTAATACCTGATAGCAAGCACTGATCTACGAGTTACTCGTAATCTTACGCATTGAATTATTTAAAAATGTGTTATGAAATGTACAAATCGGAGAAATTTTTATTTTTGAATTGAATAAATTTTAAAAATTGAAGACAAAAGTGCGATTTGTGTATGTTGTTTCATGCCTTTACGGTACCTGCCATGATTTCTTTAAGAGAAAAGAAACCAAGGAAGGCAAAGTAAATCAGATGAAAATTTGTCAGTTGCCGCCCTACAAAGTGTATCCAGGCACAAGTTTACCATTTTATCACAAGACAATGCAAGCCTTGTAAAGCTGTTCGCCGAATGCACAAACGGTTATTCAATGGTTCACGCTACTCACTGGAAGTCTTTTCGTGCATCTGGTCCACACAGTGGGCCGGATTTAGCCCACCCAATGGTGTTATGGGGTAATCCTCATGATATGACTGCTCATGTCATAGTGACAGTCAGTCAATCAGCCAGTCAGTCAGCCAGGTAGTCGGAGATATGTGTACAAAGAGGACACTAAGCTGGCCCTCTGGGACCAGCCAAAAAAATGTAAATGAGTTTGAGAATCTCAAATAGTGGACTGCAAAAATGGTCGATTTTTCTTAATTTAATTGGGCTTTCGTCGACAGGCCCATCGACAAGGGTGTGCCTGGTGGGGCCGGGCCCCCCTTGGCGAGCAATTCCCCCCCCCCCCCTCCTCCCCATTGGCAAAAGCCATACATGTGTTTTTTTTAATTATTTTATATAGTAGTGGGCCCCCCTAGTTGGTTTCTATGCCCCCCCCCCCCCCCCCCATGATGCTTAGGGCTGGCGACGGCGCGCGTCGACTGGGCAAGCATTGGCAATTGCCAGATATTGGTTTTTCCACAGTATTTAGCTATAGCACGCAAGGCAATGTCATGATCACCTCTGCTCGTAAGGCATAGGCCTACAGAACAGATTAGTTCTAAAGCCCATTTCCCTCGGTAGTGAAGCTCGATAGATGCTTTAAGTTCCGCGCAAGCGGCTTAAAATCTAGGGTTGCTGAATACTTGCAATATGTAATCTGACTAACGGAGGAAAAAATGAGGGATGCCCAATGATGTATCCATCATTCCATATTACCCAATAGGCACAGTAGGCGCCGTGCCTAGGGCTTAAGAAACATTTGGGGGCTTACGAAAAATTTGGGGGCCTACGAAAATACCGCAGTGTGCCATAACTGACGCTCAACATGTATGCATTTGCCCTACGTATAAAATGTACGTGTTAAGTCTGTCGTTCTGAGGCACGGTGCCAACCATGGACGTCGATCGGTGTGGGGGAAATTGATAAAGAGCGTCCCAGTATAATTTGGTGTCCAGCCCCCCCCCCCCCCCCCTCGAATGTCCACGGCCGGGCAACCTCGTCTCCAGGGTGTCGAGCAGTACGCGCCCACCACTACCTGCTCTCTCACCCTGGTATTGGATCATTTGCATGTGCAAGATTTTTGAACACGTATGCAAATTAGGAGTAGTCTGGTGCCTACCTGTAGGTTACATTTGCGTTTGTTTTTGTATGCGGTGTCTGGGGTAAAAACAGGATCAATTCGTCGCAGTGCGAGCATGGCGTGAGTTACGAAAACATGATTTCATCTTAATTAAACTGTTACAATCTTAACGAGACAACATGCAATATCACATTTCATATTAATATTAACAAATGAAAAGGAAATGAATATTTTCGAGAAGGCGTGGACGAATGATCGCGAAAACACGTAGGCCTACTGCACGTTGTGAATAACAACACCAAGTACACTATATTAATCCATTTCTAGCCAATTGCAGTATCGAATCAGGATGCAGGAAGGAAGTTTCCTATCCTGGGTTTACTATTGGAAACAACGTTGGGAATAAAGTAAGCATGATGGGGACGAGGTTGATGGCCGGGCAATTTGGGCGTTTCATGTGCCACCAAGAGTTCGCCACGGAGAGTTCATTTTTCCTAGTGCATTGTGGGAGATGCTTGACAAATTTGCAGCGCGGGACATTTGAAATTGTTAGTTTTTTTCCGGTCAGTAGTTTCGTAAGCGTATTATTCGAGTACAAATTTGCCTTTTTCTTTTCTTTGTATCAATATGGTGTTTTTAGTAAGGCGGCAGAACGCTATACCCGAATTTATAACCACTTAGCTAAAGTTGTTTAATGACAATCATTCAAATGGGCCCTGTTTTGTCGACCGTAATTTGAAAAACTGACTCTCCATAGCAAACTCATGGTGGCGTACTGCATTGTGAATCACCCGAATTTCATGATTTAGGTTATCCCCCCCCCCCCCCCCCCCCACTCGCCAGCACAGATTTACGCCACTGGACGTCATTGCACTTGCGTGGTCACGATTCTAATCTTGCCACCGGCTGACGTTAATGTGACATTGTATTATAAAGGCATCATTCCCTAGACTTAGCGTAAGTAGAAGAATAGATGAAGTTTTCCAAGCTGGCTAAGGAAGCTGAATTAGAATCAGACAAACAACATTCCCTCGCAAAAATTTGTAAACGGGTCAATAGTTTGATATAAATATAATGAGGTAGGCGAAACTTGCTAGAATTTCTCTCAATTATAGTGACATGTCAGTGCCGGCCGAAAGACGCGCGACGCGAAACAAAAATTAATGAGACAGAATAAGGATGAGCTTGGTAAGGTTAATTGCTCGTAGTGACTCTGAATAGTCAACTGCTCGGTACATAAGAATGATTGTAGAAAAGAGTTACGTAACCGCATTCATGTGTATAGCACGATGCTGATGCATCTTTCGTGCAGCTATAAAACACAAAGTAACTCTCCCACTGCGGAAATAAGGATTTTATGTTTTAAACGCAAATAGAAAGCACGTACTGAAACAGCCTAGCTGTTAAGCTGTCTGACAGCGGACCCAGGGTTAGGGGTTCGAATCCGCCTGGTGTCATTTTTTGGTTTTCGATGCCCTCGGTTCTGTCATTTAAGAGTATTAATTTCCCGTCGTCATTTACCAACAGCAGTTAGCTCGGTCGGTCGGTAAGCTGACTCACAAGTTGGGACTGTCTGCGAAGTCCAGGTTGGCATCTGCGTATAGGTACGGGGTTCTTTTGCTGACTCGGCAGCAAGGCTTAGGGTGCCACCTCGTTTCCTCCCTTTATGGTGCCTGACTTTCGAGTTACATGGATGGACAGGGAAGGAGGTGTGGTGGGCCGGGTACCGAGTCCCGGAAGAGTTCTATATGGAAGTCGGTAAGGGGCTCATTGAGTTAGGGTCATAAGTCCGACTCCTGAAGACTTGGCCATCGCCACATAACTTTTTGTTTTATTTTTTTTCTTTTCTATCGGAGGACAATTGCAAGAATGATTAATTTGTTATATTGAGAGCTAGTACTGTTATCGTTCGAAATTAATTGTTAAAATTGCTCGAAAATACAAAATTCAATCCAGCTATAATGTTTTTATTTCATTGTAGCAAAACTGCATGTACATGTTCAGTACCTTTGCGCATACCTTGTTCAGGCCTGTTCCCTGATCCCAGACTGCAGGAGGGGGGTCTTCAAATCCTATGGTGGATTTTTTTTTATATTTTTATATTTTTATATACACAGCTGCAGCTGTTAACCCCCGTATAAGCGACTTCGCGCGGCAGCTTGTGCCGACATGACAGAATGTACAATCTTTTGACATGGGTTTCAGAACCGGATTTTAGCTTCGCGGAGTTTTGAGCAGCGGTGTTTATTATTTACATTCTCCACTTTGTTCTTATTCCCTCTTCCTTTCCCCTTCCTTGTCTTTTCTTCGGAACACTAGTGCCTAGGGCATACGAAACACTGAATCCAGGCCTCTATCATTCCACGGTGATTTATCTCGGAAATGCGAGAACAGGGGGTGTCATTTTGTAGTCCCTGCATGGAGCCAATGCCATGTGATGGCACTGCTTCACCGTTAGCAGAAAAATTGTACTTACTACAGCAGAAACAAATAGCACTATTTCACGGATGTGCGCGCTAGGATATTTCAAATGGAAATCGCGTGCTCACAAGCGCCATGAAATCTGGCCCTGGCCAAATTTCACATTTTTTCTTTCACGATCACCCCTCGCTGAAACAAATATATAATTGTCACTTGTTTATTAGCTTTGCACCCAGATGATGAAGGCTTTCTGAAGCACCTTAATGAAATCTGCCGTCTTCTCTGCTGCCAGACACTGATTAATGAGACAGGAGGGCGGCAAATGTGGGCACGCCACAAGATGTCATGCGAACATACAAAGGTTCTCATAAACTTGTCACTGACGAGCTTCACTTAATGAAATCCTGTGAAGAATTGTCCCCACCCGGTTGGGGAAAATTCTTCACAGGAGTTACTGTCGCATTTATTTAAGTGTCAGTATAAGTTTTCGGATTTTCTGCTCAAGCTTTCATTCGTGTTCTATTTTCTAAACACCTCACGTCTTGTTCGTTTGTTATATCCATTTCTTTCCCTTGTACGGCTATTGAAAATAATCATGATTCCGTTTCCCTGAGTTGGGTAGCTGAATCCTGAATTTATTGTTACCTAATTACCTGAAGATTGAAAGCCATGTATTTTGTAGTCACTAGCCATTTGTGGAATAGGCTCAAAATGTCCTGATTGGTCAAGAGTTACAATAACTGCTACAGAAAGATCAATTAAAAAAAAAACAGTTTAAGGATGAATGAGCTGTACAACGTTTAACGTTTGGTCTTTGTTCTAAAAAAAAAAAAAAAGCGTATTTAGGGCCTACGAGATTGAAAGTTTTAAAATTTCAATCGGAAAATCAAGTGAATATCACGGATTGATCCCCAATGAAAACATTAATTCAAGGGCAGTGGTGTAAAACGCAAGGAAGTTGGGTTACTCTATTTGTAGTACGCTTAAGGCCAAAAAATGTCTTCGGTTTCTGGTATGGAGCTTGCCCCATAAAAGGTGCGGCGACGCGGCTTTCTAAAAAAATTTCCCTTCAAATGTCGGCTGATGACTTGCAAATGGTGCCCGACTAAATTTAGTGCAAAATGTATGGGAGCCGAGAGAGGCCACATAAAGCTTATACTCGATCGTAACCCCATCTAAAAACACGTTAAATATTGTGCCGCAGCAGGATTCCAGTCAAACCAGTGATTTTGGCAGTTTTGAGACATCATCTTACATTGAAAAAAAACCTTTTTAATTATGCCGACGGGCATGGCTACGGTGACGCGCGCGCAGACCAGAAACTAGCCTTTCGCCAAGGCCATCGTGGCTAAGAGCGGCGGAGCTGCGAAAACACGTAGCGACTGGAGCAAAGATTAAGTCAGCACGCACGAGTGGCGAAGCCACGAGGCCTTTTCTAACTCGATTTTGTTGAATTATTCATATTTTTATGCAAATAAGTAGAGTGCTGAAAGGTTAACCAATCACAATGCGGATTTTGCCTATAGTTGCTTCCATTTGTGAAAGAAGGGTAGTAATGGAAAACGTGAGAGGAAATAACTATAAGTTCGCCGCTTTGTCTAATGCTGGCAAGTTAAGCCACGATGGCCTTGGTGAAAGGCTAACCAGAAACTGGAGCCATTTTTGGCCTACTGTAGTAAAGTCTAGTAGACTAATAGGCCTGAACAATATTCATATTGTCAAAATGTTAACGGTACATGTATTTGCATTTTTTGTAGCGTTTGGCACCTTTCAAACTGTTCGGTCCGCACACGTTTCGTTGATACTGGGTTGTAAGCATTCAGTTTTAAAATTAATTAATGGTCGGTTCAAACACTATATACATGTACATTCCCTTTTATTTTAGGCTCGACCGGGTAAGACTAATGTGTGTTCGACATTGACTAGGGGTAGCACATTTTAAGTCTACGGATGATAGAGACCACATTTTGTGTGTTAACATGAACTTGTTTTGAATTGAAAAAAATCCACAAAATATAGAAAGGAATTACGGCATTCCTCCCCTTTGCTTTGACTGCGTTTAATTATTCAGTAAAACTCGTAATGTGATACTAAAGGCTGCTGCGGGTGACAGACAAAACAGAACACGAGACAAGGTAGGGTGTTAAACACAACGTCAAAGGGTTAATAAAACAGAGCATACACTTCATTCAAGTCCGATATGAAATTATGTGCGTGTAGCCTAAGCAAGTCGACGGACGTACAGATGAAAATCGCCCCATTCATCAGGGCTGGGCTGAGTATGCCCGGCCTTGTCACGGTATTAATATCTCACGTGGTTGTACATGGCAATGTTTACTCTAGGTTACCTAAGCAGGTACACTCAACAATTATGGTTTCCCTTGACAATAATGGAAGTTCCTGTTATTGTTAAATATTATCAAAATTACGTATCGTGTGTCGTATTATGCCTATCATATTCCAGAATGAGCATAGCAGCTAGGTTACAGTGTGCAGATGGCACTTGAGCATCATTTTCTTAAACTATGGGACATTTGATTGGTTATAAAGAATTAAAAGCTGCGTTTTGTGTTTTCCAAATATTTAGGCTCGGGGGGGGGGGGGGGGGGGGGGGGGGCAGGCCTCCAGCCGGGCCCGTACAAGGGCGGATCCAGAACACATTTTTTGGGGGGAGGCCACAAAAAAAATTGGTCCCCAAAAAAGTGGGCCCAAAATATTACGGCGTGGGGTTCGGGGCCCGTTTAAGGGGCCCGACATTTTTTTTTTGCATTCCTTGATGCTCTGTGGTGCGATCTGAGGCAACTTAAATTAACCAATTTTTTTTGTTGAGGAAAAGTTGGTGGTGTACACAGTGCCTGCCTTTATTGCGACGTAAATGAGTTGGGTTTTTTTTTTTTGGGGGGGGGGAGCCCCCCCCCCCCCGATCCACCCTTGGGCCCGTAGGGCGGTGCGTTAGGCCTCCCCAAATTATGCAAATGAGAATGAGGCCTATACCATACCGGTAGGCCTATATCGGTGGCCCCCATCTGCGGAAGTTCAGTTGTTTGGATGTTGATGCACGGTATAAACTGAGCGTCGAGATTCTTATTCCTCGGTATACGTATTGTAAGCGCGCCTCAAGGAAATACGATGCTTTTTAATTAATTTCATGTAAAGGATAATAGATTACATGATACGTCACTGAAATACTTTGTTTTGACTGAACATCCCAAGCCGGGGTATAATATTATCTGCATTCTTTGCGCTCTTAAAAAAAAACAATCCGTATCGACATGGTCGCCCTTTAATCGATATGCGATCGCGACAAATCCCTCGCCCTATTCTGCCGCGGTAACGCACATGACGACTCATCAGACTATATTTTCCCATCAGAACGGCGCGACCAGCGCGAAAGAAAAACATTCATTTGAGATATTGCCAACAAAGCTAGAGGCAGCCTCGACGGGCACTTACATGTAGTGTAGAGATAACGGTATGCTAGATCGTTCTTTTTGTGTTTTTTAATCAAGATTGCGTGCGTTTCCTGGGTAAGCATTTGCAATCCTGAACTGCATCGTTTCGAATTTAAGCTATAGGCCTATGAAAAGAGCAGGTTTGCTTGGGAGTATAATCGCACGTGAACAGACTCATGGACATTGCCGTTGAACTACCAAAGGAATGTGTCGGGGCATTCGAACCTAGTTTGTACAGAGGAAAGGACGCGCTCTTTGAACATCTGTCCAAGGTAAGGCTATATACATGCAGATAGTTCTAATCGATATGTCTGCTATATATTTTCACCATGAGGGTTTCAACTACGGTCATGTTGCTTTAATTTTTAAAATGCCTATATTCTTGCAAATTAAACTTAACAGTCCTTTACCTCAAATGTCACTATGATTTTTCAAACACTCTAGAATCTGACGCGCGTGTAATCAAGTCTACACTGTGAAAACATTGGACTTTAAAAACACACCAGGTGTGTTTTTAAAGTAAGTCATGTTCGCTGTGAATGCAGTGCAGTTTGTTGGGAAGTGCACAGTGAGGAAGACTGAAGGAGATGTTTGGTCGAGCAGGGCACATGAACTCAGAGCTGTGATCGAATCTGTCACAAGTCAGTATACACTATAATTTGAAATCTCAGGTCAAAAGTAACAGGGGATGAACTTTGACGAAGGATGTGGGCTTTGTCGAAGCATACTGGAGAGCTAACTGCTTGACTGGACAGAAAACTTACCATTGACTTGTGGCGACATGTGAATGTGATGACTTGTGATGACTTGATCAAAACTCTGTCAGGGATTTTCAAAAAGATTCACGAAGACGTATATATGTGAATAATACATTTGTTATTAGAATGGCTAAAAATAATTCACTTACAAGGAAAATAAACATCCAAATACGTTATACAAGCCCCCTTCCTTTACGTGTATAATGGAAGGGTTGCAACATATTATTGTGCCCACTTTACGTCAGCTTCCTGCCCTGTTTAAGATTTTAAGTGCATTAGGGGACACAAGTAGATCATGTGTTTAGTGGGGATTCTGGAGAGCCCTGTAGCCGTAGTCAACGTCTTGGAGCATGGAAATGTTCGGAACATGGATATATAGCCTACACTCGCATCTCTCCTTGGTGGAACTAACCAAGGCTATGGCTTGTGGCGGGCTTTCTTCGCTCTGTTTCTTGCTCCATGATGCTCCTGGCGACTTAGGAAATTTCGTTAGCTTAAGTAGATTATGGAGCACAAACCTTCAACATGCTTCATTTGTTCCACAGGGCCTAGAAGGAAAATGATCGTTTCCATTAAAGCGCACAATGTAGGCCTTTATCGATATCAAGATATTTTTTAAATATCGTTTTTGTTGCTTGTACGCATTTCTGGTTACGGCACTTCAAATGTTAACTTCAACATTTACAAAGTATTGTTCTTGTCAAATGAGCTGCTCCTTCGTAAAAGATTTTTGAATAACAAATGAAAAGGTACACTATGGCTTTGCCATGCTGTTCGCTTAATATAGGCCTAATCACAGTTAAATGTACATATCACACCAACGACTGTTTCAGGTCTGATTTGTTGCCTGTAGAAAGGGTAGGACCATTTTGTTTTCTCAACTGATTTTCCTTATCCAACCGGTACAATTTATTTGTCATGTTCTGCATTGGTATATTAATAGTATTCACCGGGTAGTATTCGAACGAAACCTGTTACGTCAAAGCAATGCAACGTGCGTCATCTCAAAGATTAAAAGGTTTGTGATTGTTAACATGCTGAAAGTGTCTTAAACAGGCCTCCGTACATCATAAGAAAACCTACAACTATTATTTTACGATTGACAGATTTATCCTTCAATTTTACTACAATATTTACAAGGAAGTTGAAAAAAATCCTCATCACTGAATTTTTTGGGATGGTTTATTTAATTATTGTTGGCCCCACTAATCATTCGTCAGAGGTGGAACTCTTTTATTACAATCTGACTTCTCGATGATAATGTGCAACATTAATGAGTACCTGTACTTGAGATATGCTCATTAACCCCCAAAATATCGATTCAGCATTGGTGATTTTTTTCTCGATAATCTGTAACAAACGATCGGCTGGATGGATATTATGATTAAAATACTAAACATATTCTGATCTTGAACATTATCATTTGGGCCTTCAGTTGCCCCACTTACTGCGTCTACCAAACTATCAATAGGAATTTTTTACATAAAATGAAGGTCCGCTCAGTATTATATACATTTTATTTTAACTTCACGTGATTTATATATCATACGGTTAAGTCGAGTTTATGTCAAAGTAAATTTATTGAGGAATTTTTGTGCAATATGGTTTGTTACTATTTGCATAGAGTGTACGATTTGTTTTTGTATCGTTGGTGACAACACACAAAGAGGGCAGTACATGTATTAGGCCAAATAAAAAAAAAACATGTTTAGCATCCTGCCTTTTTGAAAAAAAGGAAGCGGGAGGCTCTTTTTTTAATTCCCCGCCCCCCTCCAAAATGGCCGCCCAACCGGGCATTTTTTTCAAGATGGCCGCCATTTTTTTAAAATGGCCGCCATTGGACTCAGGAAATGACATACCTGCTTTATTTATATAGGGCTAGATGCAACAGATATGAGGCCAAAATGACGTCACTGTTGAAAATTTATCATTTTTTTCCCGGTTTAATAACAAAGGAGGTGGCCTCCAAAAAAGGAAGCCGGCGGGGACGCTAAACATGTTTTTGTTTTTTTCATTTGGCCTTAAGCAAAGTTTTTTTCTGAAGACTAAGGCCCGTGTACATTTAGATGAGATATTTCTGGAAAGTGCGTCTATATAGTCTCATGAATGTGTGTACAGAACTTAACCGGAGGGTGGTATATTCTTCAAAGATAGGTCCAATTTTGAATCTGCAACAAACACAATTTTGGACTTCTTCAGCATATAATTTGGGGAAGTTTAAGTGTAATTTTGAAGATCGTCCCTTGGATTTATATGCTAGAAAAAAACTGCCTGTCAGTTGGAATCACGGCACATAAATGTCATATCTCTGTTTTTTAATGAAACTTTTGAAGTATTAATGATGATAACCATTGATGAATATTTGCCTAATTGCTGCAACAGATTGTTGCAATACAAATGTCACTGTGAATTAATTTGTGACCGACGTATGTGGCTTTATAATTTAATAACCATATACATTCTCCCAGGCCCCAATTTCCCCGTGGTATTATACAGAAGGTCACGGGACAGCTTCACAGCAAACGTGCGAGTCACGTTCAGTAAAGACAACATCGTTAATACATGCACACGGCTACTGCGTCCTCAACAGTAGACGTGCATATATGGGAAATATTTGCTGAGAACCGTCGCAGCAATTATTGACATTAATTGATTATATACCAAGGGCCAGTTTCATATGGATCTGCCAATCACAAAGTTGGTTCAGTTAAAAAAAAAAGCTAAGCAAAACAAGGTGAGCCAAATATTTTGCGATGTACGTGGCTTGTGATTGGCTCTCGGCTGATTGTGCTTAAGGCATAATTTGCTAACTGATTTTTGTTTTTGTTCAGTGACAGCACCATGAATTTTGGGCCTGGTATTCACTGCATAAGCCTATGCGATGTGCAGATTTGGTTGAACGTTCACAACCCATATCTCTTGCTATGGAATATAAAAACAAAAAATGTGGTGTAAGTATCAAATTCAAGCTATGGAATGACATAATTTGTACATTTATTAGACACCGCATGACGTACTTCAGAGCATGTATAGAAGTGCCTTATTAATTTTGCGTTAACTTTAGGTGCTTCCCAGTTCGTCGTCAGTAGACAATTGATGAACGATCTCTTCGGTCTGTTTATCACTCGATTTGAACAGATGCAAACTGCAATGAGCTGATGAATCCCATTTGCTCAAATTAATGAAGATTTATTCGACAACAAGTGCACAGAGGATTACTCGCACAATGCTGTTTGCTTGACCCGAAAACAAGAAGTCTGTTGAACCAATCGCTTGAAGGGATCTCTTGCGATTCACACGCATTTGACAAAGGGTTTTAATAACTACATGTGTATCATTATAGAATGTATACTTTGTGTACCCCATTTCTTGCCTACCCCATTAAGTCAAGATAGCTTGATCCTTCGTTTTCGCGTACACCGCTTGAAATAAAAGAACAAAGGCTGGTTACAACTGATAAATTAGTTACCAACGGATAATGTATCACCAACCGATAATGTCACATAAATTGACCGATACTGTATCACCAACCGATAATGTAACACAAAATTGAAAAATGTACTACACTATCAGCCAATTCAGTGTTGTTGCATTATCGGTCTTAACCAATGATGTAACAACAATTAACTGATAGTGTAGTAACATTTACTACGGTATCCGTCATTTTTGTTACTTTATGGGTTAGTGATATAATATCGGTCAATTTGCGTGACATTATCGGTTGGTGATACGTTAGCAGTTGGTTACTACATTATTAGTTGTAACAAGGCTCCATGTGCGCGAACGCAGTATGGCGATGATGGCTACTCTGACGTCACGAACATGCCAAATCAATTTCAATTCCAAATCAATGACATTTTAATCGCGTTGACTTTGTGTACATAAAGGTCAACCCCAGACAAGTTATTCGCGATATGCGATCCCCCTGCAGCTATAGAAGAGGCCCCCTTAAAGTAAATTGCATTATTCATTGGGCTCATCGCGGGGAAAGGCAGCGCACTGGGGGCAAGATGGATCAAGTATACTTGCCTGGCTGCCGGCTTGTTGATTGCGGGTAATCTACGGTTAGGATTTGCCGGCGTCTAGCTCATCAATTCAACGGAACGCGAGAGTGCCCGGAACTGACTCGCCCTACGTGTGTTTATAGCCCGGCTGGCTTCGCTAGTTTGACATTTCAATTCCGTGTTTATTGCCAGAAAATTGGATTTGTTGCGCTGATGCTTTGGAGGGAAACTGTGTCAACAAGACCCTGGAAGATGAGGTCTCTGGACTCGCTTTAATTTCCGTTTTACGATATACAAGTTTTGTAATGACAAGCTAGAATTATCAGATTGCCGGAAGGCCCATGGACCGCGTATCTCAGTCATTGTATCATAAAGGGACCAAGGGCGGATCCAGAGCACAATTTTTTTTGGGGGGGGGCCAAAAAAATTTTGGTCCCCCAAAAAAGTAGGTCCAAAAAATTACGGCGTGGGGTTCGGGGCCCGCTTAAGGGCCCCGAAAATTTTTTGGAT